AGCTGAAGGCCTACAACTATACAACACTTGGAAACCTTTTTCTAAGTCCAAAAGCCTTGGCCCTCGGCCGATTGACTGCGATACAAGATTGAGGGGAAGCACCTACCAAGGGCCTGACACCAAACAACACTTAGAAAAATATCTAAGTCCCAAATGTTGGGTCCTCACTCAAAATGTCACACAAGCCGGAAGGGTCTATCAGCCGAAGGCTTACTACTATACAACACTTGGGAAACCTTTTTATAAGTCCAAAAGCCTTGGCCCTCGGCCAATTGACTGCGATACAAGATCGAGGGGAAGCACCTATCGAGGGCCTGGCACCAAACAACACTTAGAAAAATCTCTAAGTCCTAATACGGTTGGCCTTCGGTCAACTCAACATTCAACCGGGGGCTCAAGCCGCAACAACACTTAGAGATATTTTCTAAGTCCCAAAAATATTAGCCCTCGGTAAACTCAGGACGGCTACACCAAATCCTGAGGGTTACACTTATCGAAGGCTAGCTGATATTCAACACTCAAATGTTAATGCAGTCCAAGGGGTCACGCAACCCAAGGGCACAACTGCAAGGGGACTCTCACAATCAATCGAAGTCCTAAATGTGAAAGTTACCCCTTGGACTGCCTCTAGCTTCAGCTCCATTTGCCGAAGGGCCTCCTCTAGCCTGCACGTCTCCCGAAGAGAGGCATCTTTATCGTGAATGAGTTTCTTCAGGGTCTCCTCCTGTTCGGCCTTATGAAGGTGCCATGCCTCCAATCTACGGACTTGCTCACCGAGGGTTATGCAAGCTTGTAACACAACAAGCAAAGGGGGTTAGACAAGCCATGCTAAGTATTGAAACAGGGACGAAGAAAAGGTACTTACAGTGAGCGAAGACCGGAGGATCTTATTCTCGAGGGTCTCATCATCAAAGGTCCCGAGGGCCTTTCTATCCAGATCCGAGGTGATGCTCCCCAGAAAAGCCTTCGGCTCAATTGTACCGTACATCACTGCAGTCCCCCTTGACATGGGGAACCTGCAAGATCTCCCGAGGAAATTCCCCCGAAGGGTCGTTAAAAGGGGCCATCAGTGTGGCCGAGGCCGGGGGCTCAGCAGAGGACCGATCCTCTATAATCACCACGGGGGACGCCTTCTCAGCAGCATCCCCGGTACCATTCTACTTCTTGGCAGGGGGCTCAACCCCCTTGCTACCCTTCTTCTTCGTGCCCCCCGGCCACATCAGCGGCGGCAGCCACAGCAGAGGGATCCGGTATCTCCTTCTGGAAGAAGGCCTCAACGGGCTGCTGGCCCGAAGGGTCCTTCTTCTTAGCTGGGGCTTTCCCCTTCTTCTTCTTCATGGTGAAGAGGGCATCGGTGTTCATGTTTGTACCTGCAAAAAAAGAGGGGGTTAGACCAAGGGTTACAAAGCATGAACAGACCATCAAAAGATGCAAAACTTCCTAAGTACAAGACTCAAAGCCCTCGGTTATTACCTCCCGATCCCCCGAAGGCCCTATCCAAGATTGGGTACTTTTCATCTCTTTCCCCAGAAAACGGTACCGTCAGAACCCGAGAGCATGCAGATCCTTCTCGAGGGTGCAATCCTTGATCGCCACATTCTTATTACGCCCCTCCGGGATCTTGGCGTAAGGCCATCTTTCTCGAGGGCGGCGTTCCTCACCTTCTCATGTCGCCTGAATCGGTTTCGCAGCACCCTCGGGAATGGAATCTGGTCTAGCTTGACATAGCACCACCGCTCCTTCCACCCTTTGTTTGAGGAGGGCACCTCGGTAAATAGCTTCCACTGAGCTCTCTGCTGCAGATTCGCGAAGCCCTCAGCATTCGTGTGGCCTCCCCGACAGAGATTGAAACTCTGGAAGAATAAGTCCAAACTGGGGGCCACCCCTGAGCCGACAGAGATTCAAGAACCCGGTGATGTATGAATGGCTATTGGGGGTTAGTTGGCAGGGGACTAGGCCAACGTACCTGAGATATTCTCGAAGGAAGGGATGCAATGGGAACCTAAGGCCCATGGAATCCGAGAGTATATGGACTGCTATACACCCTTCAGGGGCTCAGGACAAGACGTCTTCGGGACCTGGTTCCACCACCGTCGCCGAAGGCCCCACATGCAGCTGGGTGGCATAGAACTCCGCCCTGTCAGCCTTCGACGTTATCTCGAGGGCGGCTGTGTTCAGAAAAGAATAGCCCTCGGGCATATCAACGGGTTTTCCTTGGTCAGCAACCCTGCCCTTCTTCTTGGGAGTGACAACCTTCGTTTTCTTCTTCTTCCCGAAAGCCACCCTGAGAGGCGTCGGGTTCAGCGGCCGAGAGCTACTCGCTTCACCGGCATCGCGAGGGGAAGAACAACGACAGTCACCCTCATTCTCTCCTTCTCCTCTCCCTCCTCAGCAGTCTGCACAGTGAGGGCGAGCTCCTCGTCCTCCATCACCTGCTCGAAGTCCTCGGCCTCGGCTTCGGTGACGAGGACCTTCTGCATCTCCATAGCCACAACATCATCGTCACTAGCCGAGGGCTCGCTTATGGATTCCACATCGGAAACCACTTCATCATTAATCGAGGGCTCCCTCGAGATGTCTTGTGAATCGCTTTGGGATGACATTTCTTACACTAAAGCAGAAGGGTTTCTAAAACCGAAGGCTTACTAAACAAACTCTAGCACTTTGCCTAAAGGAGAAATATCAAAATAAATGCTAAGGAACTCAAGAACAAAGGGAACAACTGACCTTGGGGAGTTTTGATTTTGTCTGAGGGGGATTTCTCTCTCTAGAAATCCAATTGCCAGAGCTTTGCTACAATGATCGCACAAGGAGAACGGCCCCTGGCCTTGGGGTATTTATAGGCACCCAAATCCGGGCTTGGGCCGAAAATTGGGCCCCCGATGGAAAAATCATCATTACGAACCGTCGAGTTGCCTAATCGGTGACGCCCGCCCACAGGCAGCCAACGGCCACGCGCCACGTGGACTCCATCTCCAATGGTGATATTACAACGGCCATATTCTGGGAACCCGAGGGTCCCCCTCGGCCAAACACTCCTTCATCAAGCAATAGACATGCCCCCGGGTTGCTCCTTCGCACTCCCTCACCAAAGCGAGCCCCCGGTTTCACAAGGGGGAGACCCCTCGGGAACCCTCAGCCCTCAACGCATTGAGGACCAAGGAACCCTCGGGCTAAAACTTCAAAAACCCCTCATCAATAATTGCAAGGAACCCCTCGACATCAGCGTGACTCTACGTCACAACGGTTTTTCCTTGGCGTGATTTCACATCACCAAAGGTCCCTCGACCTTCGTCCCCCCGGCATCTTTATTTGATGCCAGGGACTGTCATACAGGCCCCCTCAGCCTAGCCTTCATCCCTCCGGCATCTTTATTTGATAACGGGGGGTCCTTACAAGCTCCTTAGCTTTTTCATGCAGGATCCCGGGCTGATCTTGGATATCCCCTCGGCAGTACATGAACTACCACTCACATCCAGCACGCCCTCAGCCCCAAGGACTGAGGGACTCCCCTTCGGCGTCTCCCGAGATATCAACAGCGCGCCTTCGGCAAATCAACACACGCACCCTCAGACAAGGGTAGCCTTCGGCTACAACACTGTCGTCAGTCTCAGACCAAGGTTTCACCTTTTCGATTCATCATTGGGGGAATTCGGTGCACTCTTTTTCTCTCGTTAGATTTTTTTCCCACAGGGGTTTGTCTAATGGGGTTTTTAACGAGACATCCCCCCAAAATGAAACGAAAAGTGTCAACCTTCGGCCACCTACAACAGCAGGCAATACTCTACTCCTTTTCACCACTTCACAAGTGCCTCAAGGAGTGGGGGACTGGAGAACCCCTTCGAGAAAATCTCAAAATATCAAAAACTCCCCAAAGTAGCAACACAACCCTTCGAGTCCCAAAATGTGGGGGACTGAGGGACTACCTTCGGCAAAGACTTTCAAACAGAGAACTCCTCACAACTTTACAAGCTACAACGGAACAACGACAAAGGACAAGCACAAATTACTCCTTTTCCCTCAAGTACCTTTCGGCAAAAGGAGTGAGGGACTCCTGATGGAGTATATGGCCCGGGACCCCCGACCCATAGATTCCTACTATCCTAATAAAAGCCCAAGAGGCCCAGGAAGCACATCAGGCCCAAATCGCAGCGCCCCGGGTACCAAGCAACCCATGGAGCACACAGGGGTGCCTTCGGCCCCCTGACCGAAGGCTCCAAATTCTCACAGAAAGGCTATTTTTAGCATACAGAGCTACTCGGAGAAAACGACGAAAAACAGTAGCCCTCGGCACCTGGAGCCCTCGGCCTTAAGGGGCCTTCGACAAGAAGAGCCATCGGCTAATCATCTACGGCCGAGGGTACCTTCCTCGTCAAGAATATCCTCTCCACATGCATCTGGGTCGCCGTACCAAGTACAACGTCACATCCAACCGCCGCATTAAATGCGGCCACATGCGAATGCCAGTGACACCCGGTTGATGTGACCCCTCGGCCGTTGGATGCTTGACACGTGTCCCCGTCTCGCATTTATTGCTACTATAAATAGCACCCCATTCCCCCTTTGTAAACCATATTCTGAATACGCTGAGTTCACACTGAATACATATTCTCTCTCTTATTTGTTTGTTCTAACTTCTCTCTAGTAACTCCCCGCAGTAACCCCTCGGATATATACCCCCAGGTACACTATCCATCAACTCACTATCTTAATTCCGTGCTAAATGTACTACCAAACCGTATTTTTTTACTTACATAAGTACATACCTAAAAATCATATCTTTTTACTTACCTTAGTACAGACCTAAAACAAAAAAAGATATTTGTACCCACCTTTATACTCCCCATGTTTGTGCTAGACATTTTTTTGTCCGCGAATTATATTCACAAGACAAAAATATATCTTATTTTGTTTGTGCAAATTTTGTACAACAAGAATCATTACCTAAAAATCCTATCTTTTTTACTTAACTCAAAACAGTATCTTTTTAGCGGAGTTGAATTTGGTTATTTAACTGTCACGGGAATCCATGTCTGCGAAGGTTACGGATGTCTACCTAAATGGGGCTTTCGTTGTGGCTCAAAACTAACCGAAGATAAAGAGGAAACAGAGGAAAAAGAAATACGAAGTTCGAATGGCCGCTACGAGCTTTTGCGGCCCCAAATTCACCTCGCCGTCTCACAACCGTCGCTGCTTACACTACAGCACCGCGAACCTCAACTTTACTCACTTCTCAAACCAGAGGAGGGAACATAATGCTCACTCCCTGCGACGACGCCGCAACTTCGGCGTCTGTTGCCAGACCACGGCCACTGACCTTGAGCTCGCCGTCCGCGTTGGCAAAGATCGTCTCTTGAAGGTACTCACCCCTTTCCAGTTGAAATTACGTAATAATATTTTTTCCCTGTCATTTGATTTAAGCAGATATCTTTGAACACATTGCTTTGTTTAAACCTTATAACCTGGAAAGTTTGCATGCACTGGGCGGGTTTGTAAAATTGAAATGAATTTGTTTTAGGTCCCTATAGCGAATATAAGGAATTTCTGTATAATAGCGCATATTGATCATGGGAAGTCAACGCTAGCGGATAAGTTGCTGCAGCTGACAGGGACAGTGGAAAGCCGAGAAATGAAGGAACAATTCCTTGATAACATGGATTTGGAGCGAGAAAGAGGCATCACTATCAAATTGCAGGTTTCTATAATCATATCTATAGATTTTCCAACTGGAGGGAGAGGAAAAAATTCCTTCATCTGAAACTGCATTTTTGTTTTGAAGAAACATGCTCTTTAAAGAAAACAACGATTGAAAAGAGTGAGGTTATGGTACAGTGAGAGGTCTCGAGTTCGAAACCCGCTAGGCACATAAGGGTTTGAAACTCAATGAAGTGAGTTTCAGCCCTGATTACTCCAGGCCCCCAGCCCCCCTCCCCCAGACCCCTGGAGTAAAAAAAAGAGTGAAGTCAAGATGCAATTGCTGTACTCTGAACCTGGATTACATAGTTACATGACCATTACCCTTTGTCTGATGAACATGGGTTGCCTATGTGATGGACTCATGCGTACTTCAAAGAACATATAGCAACGAGGGGTGGTCACTATTGACATACTGTAATATATATCAAATGGCAATAAACGTGTTTTGGTGGACATTGTTTTCAACTTGCAAGTGTGCATATATATCAAATGACAATAAACGTTCACTTCAATATCAATACTGGTTGCCAATTTTTTAACAACTTCTTAGCTTACCATTCCTGGTCCTGGTCAACCTGGGTGGTAGCTTTGATTTTCAGGAGATGAGTCTCTTTTGCGCGTGTTACATGTTCTCTGGGACTGTTTGTGCTAAATAATTTTATTAGTTGTGAACTTATGTAAATGAAGACAAACTAAGTAACTATGAAGCATTGGTTTGTGAAAACCTGAAAATGGAGTTCTTACGTGAGGATTTAGCATTTGCTAGACATAAGCTACATAAGCACACAATGAACTTTGCTCCATTAGTTTAGAAGTATATATATATATATATATATATAGGTTTTGGTTCAAATAAGAACATGATCTTAGGAGAGAAATAAGAATGAATCTGGACTGTTAGATTTGATTTAAGTGATATTCAATGTGCATTAGATGAAACTGTAATGTGCATTAGGTGAAATTGAAATGCGCAGCACAAAGAGTACGATACAGTGACATTATGTGAAGCTGAATTGTGCATTAGGTGAAATTGAAATGTGCACTAAGTGAAACTAAAATGTGTAGAATAAAAGGTATGATGTGATGTTATTTTTGTACCTTTTATTCCGCACATTTTCAGTTTCACCTAATGCACACTTGAGTTTAAATTTTCATTCTGCACTTTTCAATATCATCTAATGCACATTTCAGTTTCATTGAATGCACAATTCAGTTCCACATAATACAATACAACGGTACAGATTCATTCTCATTTCTCTCCTGAGAGTCCATTCTTACCGGAACCGCTCCCTATATATATATATCCAAAGAATATAAATTAGACACACACACATCCTTTAGACAGTGAAAAGTGATTTTGTCCTAAAAGAATATAAATTTGACATTTTGACTTATTGATTTTGATAGCAAAAGTTGAGCTCTTGTATAGTTGTATTGATTACAAAATGCTCTGCATAACATGGGTGTGAACCACGTTAAAGATGCTTCCCTTCCATGTACGTGAAACCATTCTCACACATATGAGATAAATTAAATTTGTATTGCTGTTACAGGCTTCTCGGATGCGTTTCATGTATGGCGGGGAGCCATACTGCCTGAATCTTATTGACACTCCAGGTCATGTAGATTTCTCATATGAGGTACTCTCTCCGTCCCGCTAAGATTGTCCCTTTTTTCTTTTGGGAAATCCCACTAAGATTGTCCATACCAAATTTGGTAAAGTTTTTGTGGCTCTAAATCATTTTTACTTTATTCTTACTTTATCAATTCAATATCAACCACATAAACTCAGTTTTCTTAATAATCGTGCCACCCTCTCTTGTCCCAATGTTAGTGGGACAGAGGTAGTATTTGGCTAGATAAACAAGCTATTTATTTTGAAGATTCAATGTTACAGCCATACAACAATTTTTTCTTGTTGAGTTATCCCCTTAGTGATGGTGAATGGTTGAAACTCTGGGTAGTGGAAAGAAGGGTCTAGTGCTTGTGTAGGATCCATTATACCGTTCATAGAGTTCCCTTGAGCAGTTTGCTACTACATCAGTATTCATTTTTCTTTTTATCATTCAGTGCTATGGTTTCTTTCTGCTTTGTGATGTGTCAAGACTGTATTTGTCATTCTATGTTATTCATTTTATTTTTAGTTGAATGCCCAGTTTATTGAGAGTCGAGACCAATGAATATGCCAATCTATGTGACATTCCCTCCTGTAGTTCAATACCAAGGTGCCTTTTTGTCTTTTTAATCGCAGAGTCTGGACACTGCTCTACTCCCATAATGGCCATTGACCTTTTTATTCGTTTAATTCCAATTTCTGCTCTATTGTTTCATATTTTGATCCAATTTTATATTTTTCTATGTGTATTTCAATAATTTCAGGTTTCACGCTCACTTGCAGCGTGTGAAGGTGCACTCCTGGTTGTAGATGCCTCTCAGGTATGGTTTTCCTCCTTAAATTTTGACTATTTTCTTAATGTCAATTTATCACATGGAGATGTGTTGCTCACTTCGAATAAGTACCCTTAGAGTTCATACTTGTTATAAAGTAACCTGATTATTTCATTTTAGTTTTTGTTCCCATATTTTTTCTTGCAGCAATTGATTTTGAAGTTGGATTATACTTTATAGGGTGTGGAAGCTCAGACTCTGGCTAATGTATATTTGGCGTTGGAAAACAATCTCGAGATTGTCCCTGTATGTTTGCAGAATCTTTTGGCTTCGTATCAGATCAATTCGAGTTAATACACTTTTAAACAATTGTTCGAGTACTTCTTTAAAAAGTTCTCATGTTTAATGATAAAAGATGCTTGGCTGCCGGTAGTTTAAGTATGAGTCTATGGCTCTGAGGCTATGTCCAAGATAGTAAATAAATACACAAATAACCGAATGAGTTAATTTTCTAGAGGTAGAGAAACTGAACATGTTACTGAATTAGTCAAACATCTTGGGCATAATTTTTGCTTGTTATTCATTGTTGTTCTGTTATGGTTCTGGGACTGAGAACGGGTCCAGGGGTGACTTGGGGTAGCAGGGTACCCAGGTGAGGTGGTAACCTGCCTGCTAGGGTTACTCCTCTTCTTGCCCGTGGCTGGAAGAGCGCAGTAAGGGCGCAGGGGAAGGGGGGAAGTCCGTGACTTCTCTCTGGGATTAATTCTCTAATGATCGATGATTTTATTAAGGCTGAAAAAGGAATATAAATAGGCATCCTGCCTTACATGATAGAGTTCTAGTCTAACTAAAACTGTAACCTCTAAATACTTCTATTACTAATAGGAAATAATAAATAAATAAATGAATGAAATAAAAATAGCATTAGGATAGACTCCTCTTCCAATTAAACTTCCGACTGGCCCATATGTTTCCTCCTGCGATAGGGAATTCCAAAAAATGCATCCGTAACATCACTCCCTCCCTCGAAACTGAGCTTGTCCCCAAGCTCAAATCCTGGATAAGCAGCAATAAAAGTGTCAAACGGCTCCCAAGTTGCCTCCTGAGCTGTGTGGCCTTGCCAATGGACTAACAGCTCCTTCTCTCCTCTGTTTAAACGACAGTGAAGAACATTGGCTGGCAGTGGCAGGGCCTTGCCGTCCTTCAGCGGTGGTAGTAGCCCTGGTGCTGGTGGAACACTCCCTTGATGAGGCTTGAGTAAAGAGACATGAAAAGTGTTGTGTATTTTGCTTCCTGGTGGTAACTCCAATTGATATGCCACACTGCCTACCTTTGCTAATATTTTAAATGGCCCATAAAATTTAGGAAGCAGTTTGTGTTGCTTAGAGCGACCTACTGTGAGTTGTCGATACGGTTGTAGTCGCAGCCACACCCAATCACCTACATTAAACTGCAAGTCCCGATGATTATTGTCATATGCTCTCTTCATGCGCTGTTGGGACAACAATAACTGCTCTCTTGCGGTGGTTACGAGCTCATCACGAGTAATGAGTTCCTTATCAACTGCCTCCAGTCGTGTGGAGCCTGCAGAATAAGCCAATAACCGAGGTGGTTCTCGGCCATATACCAAGCGAAAGGGTGTTTCTCCTAGTGATGTATGGTAGGAAGTATTGTAACAAAATTCAATCCACGGTATCCATTGCACCCATTTCGTTGGCTTCTCTCCTGTCATGCATCGCAAGTACATCTCTATAGTGCGATTAACGACCTCGGTTTGTCCATCAGTTTGCGGATGATAAGCGGACGAAAAGGTGAGCTTGGTTCCAGACAGACGAAACAATTCTCTCCAAAATGTACTCATGAAAACCTTGTCACGATCAGAGACTATTGTTTCCGGCAGACCATGCAAACAGACAATCTCATTGAAGAAAATTGTTGCTACGGATGGCGCGGTATATGGATGGGACAAGGGAATGAAGTGAGCGTATTTTGAGAAACGATCCACCACCACAAGCAGGACTGATTTTCCCTTGACTTTTGGCAGCCCTTCAACAAAATCTAGTGAGATATTGGTCCAAATTTTTTCGGGTACCGGTAATGGCTGCAGCAGCCCTGCAGGGTGTAGATTTACCCATTTATTTCTCTGACAAACTTGGCACACTCTGATGTAATCTCCCACCATTTTTTTCATACCGGGCCAATAAAAATCGCGCCGAATACGCTGCAACGTTTTTTCTGTGCCTTCGTGTCCCATATCATGTAATTCGGAGATAATCTGAGGAATAATTGGAAAGTCAGAGCCGAGAAAAACTCTCCCTTTAAACAGCAGCAACCCTTCTGCAAGCTTCCAATCCTCTCCTAGTTTCCCTTGTTTGACCTTTTCCTCCATTGCAGACCATTCTGGCGAACCAGATGCTTCCTTTTTAATTGTTTCGAACAAGGTGGTTATCGGAATAGTGATTGCCACACATTCTATCTCAACGTCCTCTCTGCGTGAGAGGGCATCATCAGCCGCATTTAATCTTCCCGGCTTATATGCCACACGAAAATCAAGTCCCACCAGCTTGCTTAGCCAATGCTGTTGCGGACAGGTTGTCAAGCGTTGCTCCAGGAGGTACTTTAAGCTGGAGTGATCAGTGCGGACCAAAAATTGGCGACCCCAGAGGTATGGTCTCCAATGCGTAATGGCTTTAGCGAGGCTGATTAACTCTCTTTCATAAGCTGCCAACTTTTGATGCCTCTCTGCGAATTTCCTACTGAAAAAGGCAATAGGGTGTCCTTCCTGCTGGAGCACTGCCCCCACCCCGGTCCCGGATGCATCACATTCCACCACAAATTCTTTCTGGAAATTAGGTAATGAAAGCACGGGAGCAGAAGAGAGTAACTCCTTCAGTTTCTCAAATGCATGGTGCGCTTCTGGAGTCCACTGAAATGAGTTTTTCCTTAAAAGAGAAGTTAGGGGGGCTGCAATCTCGCCGTAATTTTGTATGAATTTTCGGTAATAGCCTGTCAGTCCCAAAAAAACCCTTAGAGTTTTTGTTGAGTGAGGAATTGGCCATGCTTTAACAGAAATCACCTTTGAGCTATCAACTTCTACCCCCTTTTCATTTATGACATGTCCCAGGTACGAGACTTGGGTTTCTCCAAACATACATTTGGACTGCTTCAAGAAAAGGTTGTTTTGACGTAGAATTGCAAACACAAGCCGCACATGATGAAGATGTTCCACCCATGTTTTACTGTAAACCAAAATATCGTCGAAGAAAACCAAGATGAACTTGCGTAAATACGGGCGAAAGATGTTGTTCATAAGACTTTGAAAAGTGGATGGTGCATTAGTTAGGCCAAAGGGCATAACTAAGAACTCGAAATGCCCATGATGGGTACGAAATGCAGTTTTCTCCACATCTTCGGGATGCATTCGGACTTGATGATACCCTGATCTTAAATCCAGTTTGGTGAAATATTTTGCACCGTGAAGTTCATCAAGCAATTCATCTACTACCGGAATAGGATATTTATCCTTGACGGTGTTGTTGTTAAGTTCTCGATAATCAACACAAAACCGCCAAGAATTATCGTGCTTCTTAACGAGTAGAACTGGAGAAGAGAATGGTGATCTGCTTGGCTGGATTATTCCCTGATCGAGCATCAATTCACATTGCCTTTCAATCTCGTCTTTTTGGAAGTAAGGGTACCGGTATGGTCGCACTATCACCGGTCCTGTTCCAGGTTTTAGGGTAATCCGGTGATCACACTCTCTCTGCGGTGGCAGCCCCTTTGGTTCAGCAAATAAATCTTCATATTCCCTCATTAAGATGTCCAACTGAGTTGTGTCTGGGTCGTTGCTGTGAAGCAGCGCCACACGAGGAACAAATGTAGGGTGCTGTCCGTGCCAAATCACTGTCTTGCTCCTCCTTTCGAATCGCATCGTTCTATCTGAGAAGTCCCATAATATGGGCCCTAGAGTTGCCAACCAGGACACACCTAGTATGGCATCAAAACCCTCCAGCGGAATGGTGTAAAATTCTGCGCTATATTCCTCTCCATCAACCAGGAAAGGAACTGATTTGCATACTCCCTAACTTGGAACCCTTTCACCATTAGCCACTCGCACATGCAACCCCGACTTCCTGACAATTGGTAACTTCAGAGAGGATACTACGACTTCTCTTAAGAAATTATGGGTGCTTCCGGAGTCAATCAACACTGTCAACTCTGTTCCTCCCATTCGTGCTAGTAATTGCATGGTCGATGAGTGTTTTGTACCACTGATAGCGTTGTCAGACAACTCCAAGTCTGGTAGGCCATCTTCCTCCTCCTCATCTTCGATCTCGATCAAGAAAAGCTTCTTGCACCGGTGATTCATTGACCAGAGTTCGTCACAATTATAACAGAGCCCTTTTGCTCGTCGTTCTGCCATTTCACCCTTCGTGAGCCGTTTAATAATCGGGTTCCCTGCCTTAGTTGTCATGGTCATTTGTCTATGCTGTTGCGGGCTTCGTTGTTTCGCATTTGTTGCAACACTCCAACCTTTGACAGGTGCAATTGTCAATGATTGCTTGGCTTCTAATGTCCGCGCAAGGTTCATTGCATACCCGAGGTTTCCTGGTTTTGCCATCTCCACATCTGCCCTCAAGTGAGGTTGTAAACCAGCGACATATAAGGCAATCTAATGTGTGGGTTGTATTCCTGAAGTTCTTGCTAAGGCCTTCTGGAATTGTCCACAATATTCATCAACTGTCCCTGTTTGCATCAAAAGCTTTAGATCACCTACCGGGTTAGAACTCAGAGGGGGCCCAAAACGCTCCAGGCAAAGGTCTTTAAACTTATCCCAGTTGACTTCACCTTCCTCCTCGATCATTTGGTCGTACCAGAGTTGTGCATCATCTATCAAGTGGAACGCCACAACATTCACTCTGGCAGCACTAGGAGTTTCTTGATTCAAAAAGAATTTTTCACACCTTTTCAACCAGCTGATAGGGTCAGAGTTGCCATCGAATACTGGGAACTCCATCTTCGCATAGTGTGGTCTCCAGGGGTTCTCTGCGAATTCTGGTCTTCCACTCGGCTGTTATCCACTTCATCTTCATGTGTTTCCGCTATCTTTGAATCTCGTTTGTGGACTGCCAGAGAGAGAGCCGCTATCTTCCCTTCTAACGCGGTTGTCTTAGCAGTCATAGCCTCCATAAACTCCTTCATCATGGTGGCTAAATCATCATTATGTGGCACCATGGATCGTGACAGCTCTGATACCATGTTCCTATGCCACCAATAGAATATTTTGGCTCACCTGTAAGAGCCAAGAGGCAATAAATAGCACATTTTGTAAGCACAAACCAATAAAATATACTCCGTAATTAATTAAAATTGTAAACTTCCAAAACTCATTTATTAACAAATGTAGTGCTATTGTGTAAGAAGCATGCTGCAAAAGGATGAAAATATTAAGAAATTTCAAGACAATTTTTATTCACGCTGGTGTAAGTCATGACTGTGTGACACTGTTCAAATTTTTATATGCACTACTGACCGTAGGTTGTGTTTTGCTCTTTGCCTTATACTTCCGGTTTTATGCTTCATTCTCTAGTCATTCTGCACCTTTGCGATTTTATTAATATGAAAAGAATGATGCACTCTGAAGGTCTTGAACAAGATTGATCTTCCAGGTGCTGAACCAAGCCGTGTTTGTCAAGAAATTGAAGAGGTTTGTATGAAAAACATGGAGTATAGAATGCTATTATTATAGTATTATTTGAAACCAGCGCTCTGCATATGTATCAATTGGAAAAACTATAGCAGGGATAGGATAATTGTTAATTCTTCTCTTCTGACTAAATACACACTCTGGACATTTCCTCAAGATAGGGGCTATCTTTTAGAGTTCCATTATTTTTTATCATTGTTATTGTATTGTTGCTACCTGTTCTTGCAATTTGGACTTCACATTACTTCCATTTCTACTATTGTAGTAACTCACATTACGGCTCTTTTTAGTATTGCTAATACCACATTGTACTATTTGATTCATGTTCTTTCTTTCTTTGAATGATCATCGCAACCTTTCCGTTAAATTACAATACTGGTATATTTTCTGTTAGCTTTATTGTTGCCTAAGATTAGGGGTCAAACACCAGAGCCAAGCTCGAACATGGGCATGCTTGAGCTTGATAAGAATGCACCTGCTCGAGCTTGGGCTCGAGTTTTGCTAGTTAATTTTTTATAGGTTTGAGTTCAAATAAGATGCTTAAACTTGAGCTAAAAATAAATTTTATATTTTCAAAATTATTAATATTATATTATATATTCAAATAAATAAATAATATCTATTATTTTGTACTTTATCATCCTCATTTTTTGTAGCCCTGTTTCATTCACTCGCATTTTTACTCATTTTTTATTGTGCATTTTTACTCCTTATTTTACTATCAATTAAATTTTGAATTATATAAATAAATAAATAAACATAAATACAACAACAACATCCAAGTCTTAATCCCAAAAGATTTTAAATAAATAAAAATAAATAAATAAATAAATATAATGTGCTTGTGTATATATAATCATATATATATAAAATCACACATATATATATATATGATTGCAGATCAAATAAAAACCATTCTTCCCGTGAAAATTGCACACCGTTCACTTTTCCGTCAATGTGATGCACTATTAGGTTTCCATGTTTCGCTTTTTCGCATTGACAGTGTTTTTTTGACCTATTTACCAAAATGCCACCGCAAGAGACGAACTTTAAATTGCATCGCAATGGGGAAAAAGTGAATTGTTTGCAGTTTTCACATTAAGGGTAGTTCTTATTTGATCCGAAACCTATATATGTATGTATATAGGGTTTGGTTCCGGTGAGAACGATCCAAAACGATGCACATTGTGGTTCACAAAAGTGCACATTTATTGTTAAAATAATGCAAAGTTCAAATGTGCAAATTTGTGATTAAGATAGTGCACAATCAAATGCACATTTTCTAACTTGTGGTAGTGCACATTTCTATTTCACATAATGCACAATACCCAAATCCAACGCTCCGGAATCATTCTTATTTATCTATTTAGATCATGTTTCCATTTGAACCAACTTATATATATATTGCATCAAAAATAAAAGTTATACTAAAAATATAAAAGAAAGTACAATCACTAATGAAGGTAGAAATTTAAAGAATTAACATACAGTTATTGGAATAACATGCTAATGTAAAGCAAACAATTAAATGATCGAGAACCGAAAAAGAAGCCCACCTCCTGCCAAAGATAGTAACCGATCGCCAAGGTTTTCAACAAATTATATATACTTCTTGCGTTCTTAAATAAATGCAACGGTCAACTTTTCACACTTGCCGAGACACAACTTTGACGATTAATATAAATGATTTTGTATTAGTAAAAAAATTAAAAAAATTAGATTATGAAAATTTACAATGAGACAAGTTTAACAATATTTTTTTCATAAAATAATATTATTACATTAATAAATAAAACGTAGTCAAAGTAGAACATGTGAATAGTGTAAAAGTCAAAGTGTTGCATTTATTTAAGAACGAAGGTAGTATATATGTGTGTGTGTGTGTGTTTTCATTGGTCATCTGGATGGAAGCCTTTGTGAGTTTGTGGCACTGGGGTAATGTTGTATATATGTATGTATGTTATGGCTCGTGAGCTCATGAGCTAAAAGGAATTGAGCACGAGCTTAGCTCGATTGCTTAACGAGCCGACTCAAGTTTGGCTCGAGTCCGAGATTGACCTAACTCGAGTCGAGTTTTGACCGAGTGGCTTGACTCATTTGCACCCCTACATAAGATTGAAGTTTATAAAGCTTGTGCATGCTAGGCTCTTGTGTGACATTGATTCTCTTGATGTAAAGATATCAGTCATGAATAATAAACAAGATATTGAACCAGCTTAGCTTTTCTTCATTCCTAGATTGTTGGGTTGGACTGTAGCAATGCAATCCTCTGCTCAGCAAAGGTTAGTTCATTTTTCTTTTTTTGCTGTTATTATGACTTGTCAAGGGAAAACATGGGACATTCACTTTCATGGAAAGAGGGATGAGAATGACGTGTCATAGCATGGGATATACTATAGGAAAACTATCACATTTAACTCATTCTCTTGCTTTATGGTGCGCCCATTTCTTTTTTGGGAGGGGGTTGCTTACATGATCGAGTCCTTTTTTGACAATATATTTCTTTCTTTAGGAAGGGATTGGCATTACTGAAATACTAACTGCAATTGTTCAAAATATTCCACCGCCTCAGAATACCGCTGAAATGCCTTTGAGGGCACTTATTTTTGATAGGTATGGATTTAGGTACTACATACAAGTTATTTGCATAATATTATACATGAATCATTTGTTTCAAACTTGTGCATATAGCTTCACCAGAAAAATTTCATTTGGTGCATGAAGAATTGGAGAATCAGCGTTGCTTTGTTTTATAAAGCATAAAAATTGAAGATTGGTGATAATGCTCTTAACTTGTATTAATTAAAGTGGATAAGGATTAGATATTGGATTCTTTTTAGTTCTTATTTTATATTTAACTGTGCAAGTCAATGGATTACAGTTATGATATTAGTGAAATATGATTGGGAGTATCAATAGATCTTAATCCTTGTTTTGCTCAATATGGCTTTAAGCAAGCAACACTGACGGTAATATATGAAACTCCTGCCAACTAAAATGTTTGTCTCTACAGATGCTTATAGTCATCAAATCCTATTACAGCAATCTAATGGTTTTGCTTAGGGTTTTAATTTAGTTTTTTATCCAGCTAATTGTTAGCTTGAGGAAGCCAGCGAGCCCAGCAAAGCTAATTGGCTTGGTTTGAAAAGAAAAAAATTACTAACCAATTCAAGAGAGATGGGTTGTAGCTAGCCATTGGAGCACTTTGTAGCTAGAAAGTAGTGTGACTAGAGAAATTGGTGCCACACGTCAAGCTACAAGTCAAAGTGGCTGAGATGATAGAACTAACCAATTTTACAGAAAATTCACAAGGAAATATCAAGAAGAACAACATCAATCTTTATTGAAGAAGAAAAGTTCCGTAACAATGGCCGAAGCCCCCAATGAGCCGTAGCCCCCCAAAAGAAAGAGAAAGTTCTCGATCTTCCCAAGTCCCAGATTAAAACGTCTAAACAGCCTACCTTCCCTTCTCAGCCTTACTTCTATTTATAGCAGTCCAGCTCCTGACATTATTTAATATCTATTACAGCATTTTAACTAATAGCTATTATTAGTCAAAAGGTGGGTCTCTATCAATACTTCCCCCCCAAAACATCCACCTTGTCCTCAAGGTGGGTGATAGGAGAAAGCCAAGATCTTCTGCTTCTTCTTCTTCTTCCTTGCACCTCTTCCTTCCCAGTATCTTTCAAATTTCAGGATCTTGAACTTCATGATTTGAATCTTCCTTCTCACTGCTTCTAGCAAAAACAACACTAGCTCCTCTCCCTTCCAAGCAATAATACTATTCCTGTGATTTTGTTCAGGCTGGTACTGATCTTCACTCATCACCCTCTGCTCCATCTTCCATTTGCTAGTAGCTCTTGCTTCAGGGTACAACCCAAGTTCTCGGTTTTCAGTTGTTTCACTCATGTGACATGTCATGAGTGGTAGTTCTTCCAGAATAGAAACTCTTGATATACCTTGATCTTTGCCCATCATCGCATAGTAATATCTACCACCATGATCTGCATTCTTACTACTCCAACCACCTGAGTAATAAGAAATAACCTCTCCTTTACGAAAATAGGACCATGAACTACAACCAGAAGACAAAGTATTTGGATTCCCTTTCAAGTCAGCATAGGTAAAATTATCCACCAAGTCATCATTGGAAAGTGTTGTCAACGCCAGTGGTTCCGGGTAGATGATCAAGAAATAGCAACTCGTGTTCTCAGCGCCAGATTTCCATACCCGAATGGTTGACTGAACTTCAAGAAGAATCTCTTTTCCAACAGTCAGCATATTGAAAGAACCAGGAACATTCCATTTTTGTTGTTGATGCTGGAAGATGGAAGAGTCAAGATAAGAGCTGACAAAGTCCTTGTAAATGCCATTCACGAGTACAATGGACCTAGCAGATGGGCTTCTAGCCACAGAATAAGAACTTGCCACAGCAGAATCATCAAAACGATAGTCTAAGCCTACACCTCCTTCTTGAAGCGATATACAAATTGATGGCATTTTCCTTACATGTTCACCACTTATCAAAGCCAATTGGAAAATAGCAGGGTTGATTTCATGGTCAGACATCAGGAATCTGTTAGTGTAAATCTTCCAATTTACAGTAAATCCTATTTCCAACCTATCTTGGATGTTCTTAATAGTGGTAACACCATCAATTAGGAAACCATCAATCTGGTTCAGCCCTTTCATTGGAACACCCAATCCAAGTTCAGGAACGAAATCATTCAAGGGTTTCAAATTGAGTATATTAGCATAGCACATATCATCAGTAAGTATATCTCATTTAAGTATTTCTGAACCTTCAATATTGTCTGATGAAATTTCCGAAGGTTGATTAACCTCCTCTTCAGGGTCTGTTTCCTTAACTGAAGGTATAAGCGGTGATGAGATGTGAGATCCAGCGAATGAAGAAACCTGCGTAGTAAGAACTTCTGCCCGCGTGGAAGCCAGAAAACCAGAAGAAGTAGGCGTCGAACCTTTGCTTTTTGAATTTCTGCAGCGACGTACAATCCTTGATCGTCCTCTTCGGTGACGTTGCCGCAGCTTGGTGCGCACCTCGTCCAGCCCTGTCCTCGTTTCCTTGCTCTTCTCCTTCCCCTTCTCCAGTTTTGAGCGCTTTTCATTTTCTAGGGTTGGCCACTTCTCTTTCTCCATTTTTTCTCGCTTATCCTTTTCCGCGAGCTTCCCCACTTCTTCGCGCGGCTTCTTTCGCGAGTGCGAAACAGTTCGCGACTCTTTCTGCAACTCCTGCGAGTGCGAATTAGTTCGCGAATCTTTCTGCGAGTGCCGATTATTTCTTCGCGGGCTTATTTTGCGTATCCTTTCGTACAAACGCCTGGTATCTTCGCGCATTTTTTCCCAAAACAGCCCCCAATCTTCCATCGTTCCTGTACAGGACTACAGGTAACAAGATCGTTTGCTCTGATACCAATGATAGAACTAACCAATTTTACAGAAAATTCACAAGGAAATATCAAGAAGAACAACAGCAATCTTTATTGAAGAAGAAAAGTTCCGTAACAATGGCCGAAGCCCCCAATGAGCCGTAGCCCCCCAAAAGAAAGAGAAAGTTCTCGATCTTCCCAAGTCCCAGATTAAAACGTCTAAACAGCCTACCTTCCCTTCTCAGCCTTACTTTTATTTATAGCAGTCCAGCTCCTGACATTATTTAATATCTATTACAGCATTTTAACTAATAGCTATTATTAGTCAAAAGGTGGGTCTCTATCAGTGGAGTTGCTATAAGTCTAACTGATCTTTGAAGCACATTGAGTTTTCAGTGAAAAGTAAAAATAAAAAGTGAAAACTAAACCGTGATTATTTTCAATTGCTTTATAGACAATGTAATTCATTCTAGTTGAGACACTTGCAGCAGAGTCTTAATTGCCAAATAATTCTGATGTATCAACTCCTAGTATCAAGTGGATTTTCCTTCACATTTTGTTCTTCCTGCTTAAATTCTATAATATTCATCGGCTTTCACTCCTAGAATGCTCAATGTTGGGTTAATTGTTATTCTTACCAAAACTTTAATCATGCAACGGTCAATAAATTTTACTAATTGATAAACACTTTCCCCCAGTTACATTCTGTATGGTGTATGTAGTAAATAGATAAGATGGATGGCATCATACTATCTGTGGCTTTTTGCCTTCAAATTTACTCCAATTAGAAACATGTAACCTTGTTCTCATACCGAACAGATTATCTTTGAGTTAATATAGCTCCCACTATGTTCCTCACTAAAACCAGAAATACTGTTAGGCTTTATTTGAGAAGGCAGAAAAAGACTTATGGAAGTCATTCTCAGATTCTCTAGTTTTTCTGTGTTTGGCTTGTTAGTAGAGTGAAGTAAATGGAAAGTGACTACAAAACTTAGAGGAAAAGACAAGTAATATGAAAAATGTGCATATATATAAATGAAACATGTGTACATATGTGTGTGTGTGTGTATATATATATATATATATATATATATATATAAATGAAACATGTGTACATATATGTGCATAGACAAGTATGTATTTCTTTCAATTCTTCTTTGCACTTCATTTTTTTTCACGGTTTCACTGACTGATTTTATACCCAACAAGTCACTGTAAATTTCCACTAAGTTTTGCCTCCATGTCTTTATAGTTATTATGATCCATACCGAGGTGTTATTGTCTACTTCAGAGTTATTGATGGGACTATTAAAAAAGGAGACAGGATACTCTTCATGGCCAGTGGGAAGGTAATCTGCAGCAGGCTGTTATGCTTTCTTGAACCTTGTTTACAAATATATTCACACGAATGAATATCCCCTTCTAAACAATGTACTTTTCAGTTCATTACAACCCAGACTAAAACGATGCCATTAAACCAGTTATCTCAAGCTACAATTTTATAATATCTAATGAGCATGTTTGAACACTAGGTGCTGACTTCTGGTTCTTTTCTGCATATTTGTAAAGTTTAGGATTATGCTGTTGATGAAATAGGAGTTTTATCTCCCAATCAGATGCAAGTAGATGAGCTATATGCTGGAGAGGTAGGATTGACTCAAAATTTGCTCAACGTGTTGTGGATAATTACTACCAAGAATCCCCCCCTCATTTGTTGTAAGATTCTTAAATACCTTAACATTTAGGTGGGCTACCTATCTGCTTCAATAAGATCTGTGGCAGATGCAAGAGTTGGTGACACCATTACTCACAACATTAGAAGTGCACAACAATCACTGCCTGGATACAAGGAGTCTACACCAATGGTGTTCTGTGGCTTGTTTCCCGTTGATGCAGACCAGTACTTTCTACTACTATTTTTATTTAGTAAAGTTCTATAATTTAATTAAGTAATGACTGAGCTGGCCTCGTTCTTTGGTACATACTATTTACAACCTAAACTATTGCAGATTTGCTGAACTGCGTGATGCATTAGAGAAGCTACAGTTGAATGATGCTGCTTTAAAGGTAACTATAATACTGGATTTTTTTCTTTTGTGTGTTATGTGAATATGTGATTTTTGAATAACAGGTTTAAAAATTTGTGTTTGGTTCACTGCACCGTTATGATCTGCTGCTGCATTTTATATTCACATGGTTTACCAACTTCTTAGTACTCTTTGGAAGATATGGATCCTACATGTGCTATTCTATTACCATATGATTTCGCTGCTTCTACGTCCAAGCTACCTATTGGTGTGCATGGAAGCGTTTTTTTTATTAGAAGTGTAACAGAGTAACAGACGGAAATCTACACTGTTATTTTAAATACACTACCATACACCAATAAATTCACATTTGGAGTTAAGATAGTTCCATGTCGTGCTTATTAATTTTATACTACCAATTTTGAGATGGCACATGACTACAGCAACTATCTAAGCTCATCACATTTTCATGATATTTTCCATGCAAGCAGAAAAAAACATTTAATTGGCGATGGCTGTGGAGTTTCACCTTATTACTCCTTCGGAAGACTGCAACAGGATAGGCAGTTAGGCACCCAACATAAAGATTGCAACTATGGTTTTTGCCTAAGTTTTTAGTGTTAACTTGTTTTAGACAATTAATTCACAGTCTATGAGGACCCAACTTAGTTGAAATTATCATGTTGATTTTGATGGCGATAATGATGACATTACTAATAGTGTCCCCACTAATCTGGTATCAGTTCGAGCCTGAGACCTCAAGCGCCATGGGTTTTGGCTTTAGATGTGGATTTTTGGGTCTTCTACACATGGAAATTGTTCAGGTCAGAACACCATTCACACATTCTATAGTATTGGTGATGGATTATGTTGTGTTTCATCTAATATTTTACGTAACTGACATACTTTATGTCACAGGAAAGGCTAGAGCGTGAGTACAACTTGTCACTGATAACTACTGCACCAAGTGTTGTTTATCGAGTCAACTGCATGAATGGTGATACCGTAATATTGCTTATCCTGAACGTTTTTTAGAGTGAATCAATTTGCACATGCTCAGAAATGAGTTTTTGTGGATCTACCGATCACCTTTAAAATTAAAGTTATGAGCTTAGCAAAAAGTCAAACAAAAAGGTGGAAATGACTACAAAAAAGGAAGTGAAAGTAAATCTCACTTATCATTGAAGGTCTTGCTGCTTCTATTTGTGCTTATGTGAGAACTGAGTCCAGAAGTTATATTTAAAAGATCTTTGCGGTGTACTTTCCTTGGTCCAAATACATTTAATGGGAGTGGGTGGGGTGGGGTGCATACATCTGAGTAAAATGGAGACTGAGTCTGAGACCTCTTACCTAGAGCTGAATACTAAGGTCTTTGGGCACTAATTGCCTTGAGTGCAGTGTGGAGTTTGCTTCTTATATCCATAGACAATTTATTGATTCATTTCTTGTTATTCCTTTGTTTCATCTCGATTAGAACTTGATGTTATTAATTAACACTATATGTCATTTGAGGAAACTGTAAACCATTTCTAGTTTTCTACCTTGAGCATTATTCAACATGAGATCTTCTGATATCTTACCTTAGGTTGAGTGTTCAAATCCATCTTTGCTTCCAGAACCTGGCAGAAGAAGGTCAATTGAGGAGCCATTTGTCAAGGTCGCTCTTTCAATTCTTTGAAAAAAATGTAATCATGCAGTCTCTCTTGTGATCTAACCAAAAGGTCTGTCGTTTATCCATCATAGATTGAGATGCTCACGCCAAAAGATTACATCGGTTCACTGATGGAGCTCGCTCAAGACAGAAGAGGAGAGTTCAAAGAAATGAAATATATCACTGAAAATAGAGCATCAATTCTATATGAATTGCCACTTGCTGAGGTATTTCAATGTGGCTTGTCACCCAGTTGAGCTATCTTAAGTTTCAAGTAGTATCCCCACGGCCTCAAACTATGCATGCATGCATCAACAGAAGAAAAAGAACAGGAAAATCAAAAGTAGCTTAATGGATTTCTTCTTCTTCTTCTTCTTCAGTATATACATAAACTGTAGACTGGTCTATCGATCTATTTTTTAGATGGTTGGTGATTTCTTTGATCAACTGAAATCAAGAAGCAAAGGTTATGCCAGCATGGAGTACTCTTTTATTGGGTGAGTTCATCACTTATTACGATTTTTCTCTTCGTGCTCATTCCAATCGCAAAAGCAAGGTATCTTTTGAGATTGATTTTAGTACTTTATTAAAAACAATTTAGAGATACTGGCCTTAAGCCTTTAATAAGTTACAACTTTTGAAGCACTCTTAATTTCTATTTAAAATATCTACATAAAATGCGTACCCAAGTTGGTCTGATGATGTCCTATCAAATACTCCCTCCACTCTTAGAGGTACTTTAAGATAATATAAGACTTCTGTCCCTCTTGACCTTTTGAAGCTCTCGTTCCACCTTGGTCAGCAAAGATCCATTTCTTTTTGAAAATCAAAAGGAGAGTTTATCTTTTTATTTGCATATTTGATATATTATGATATTTTGTTACAAACTCACATGTGTGCCAGTTATAAAGAAAGTGAACTCATAAAGCTTGATGTTCTTATTAATGGTGACCCTGTGGATCCTTTGTCAACAATTGTGCATAAGGACAAGGTACAGATTTCACATTCCTATGTCTGCCTTTGTGCTGGATGTTTCTTTTCTTTTTCTCAATGGATATAATGTATTAAATTAATTTTGGTGCTTCAGCATTCAGAACATGTTTTCTGAAATTAGCATTTTAGTTTTAGTTGGGTTGAGATAATTATCGTGGCCTCAAGTTCGACTGTTCCATTTAATAATTTGTAAAGCATTGTATATTGGTCTGAGGACTGTATCTTCAGTTTGGCCTTTCTATGGAAACATCGTTTGCGTTAAAAACTTGTTGCTTCTCATTTTCCAGATGAAGCAGATTCATTTAGGTGTTCATAAGTTGGAACTGAGAAAGGAGTATAATATAGGAGTACAAAATTGTGGTGTAGGGTAAATTTGATGAAATCCACATGACAAACAATTTGAAATGTACCCCTACAAGAAGAATTTGCAGCTTTTAGGCTGTAAGCTGCCTGGCCTATCTCTAGTCCAGTCTCACCTCTGATTGCATCAGGGGGTACTTGGTTGGGGTTAGGTTCTTAGGCATAGGGAATGATAGACCATTGGTAAATCCAACTCACAACACAATGAATCACAAACAATTAACGAGGAACAAGATCTAAGAACGTTTATTGATGTAGGAAGGAATTACAGAAAGTACACAAGCTTAGGGCTATTCGAGACGCCTCAATCTCCCAGACCTCAGTCAACCAAAATAACAGCCTCCTTCTGCTAGCTTATTAACTTCTATCTATAGTAAAAGCCCACTCATTATTATCTAATTAATAGGCCCACTTATTATTATCTAATTAATAGGCCCACTTATTATTATCTCTAATAATAGGCTCATTCCTATCACTACCCCCCCCCCCCCCCCCCCCTAAACAACCACCTTGTCCTCAAGGTGGGTGATATGAATCAGCCATGATCTTCCACTTCCACTTCATTCTGGCACTTCTCCCCTCCCAGTACTTGACTGATTGCTGGACTAAGATCTTCCATACTTGAATCTTCCTCCTTACTTCTTCTAGCAAGAGCATCAATAGATCCCCTATCTTCAGAACATCAGTACCACTCGGGTGACTTTGTTCCTGCTGGAATTGAGTTTTACCAATCTGCCCATTCACCAACTGCTCAATCTTCCAATTGCTAACAACTCTTGCCTCATGATATGACTCAAGCTCTTGGATTTCAGTTGCTCCACTCCTTGAAGTTGTAGTATCAGACAAGAAGTATTCCCTGGGACTGATAGTAACAGCAGGAACATCAATTGACTGATCAACAACCATGGTAGATTCTATTTCAGAGTTGTTAAAGGAAGCTTTCCAATAAGAATCCTGTAATCCAGAATTCATAGGTGCTAACAATGACATGAATGGTGTAGAACCTGCTGATATTCCGAGTATGGATAAAAATCTGGCATAAGGAAATTCTGCAAGATACTCTTTTCCTTTTGACCAGTCTGACTTGCAAATGTCATCATCTTTAATCAAACATTTGGAAGAGCCTCTTAGTGGGGCAGTCATAGACTCTGGATTTCCATTATAAATCACCCACTTAGGACCATCAACAAGAGGTCCAATATACACTACACCCAATGTATCATCTTTCTTGTCATCTGTAGCCTTGATCCCTTTGTCAGCAAATACCATCTGAAACCGATACTCACAGATTACAGCCCCATCTGGAACCAGTATACAGCTTAATGGCATTTCCTTAACGTTTCCCTTATCCTCCCCAGTCAATCCTACTCCCAACCCCTTTCGGATATCTTTCATAGAATTTCCATCATCAATTTTGAAACCCTCAAGCTGATTCAGCCCTTCTAACTGTGAAAGTATTATTGTATCTAGGAATATGCTTTAGGAATATGCTCTAGAATATGCTTTAGGAATATACTCTAGACCATTATTATTGTATAGCATCTTATATAGGAATATTCCATCTTTGTAATATATATATATATATATATATATATATATATATATATATATATATATATAGGGCCTTAACCCTCTAATGAAACACACAGAAAATCCTTCTCTCCATCTTTAATAGCATTGTAGTTTATATTTCAACATGGTATCAGAGCCTTCCATTTTAGTTTAGTTTTTCATATTTCAGTTTAATTTTCAGACTGGATTCTTCCTTCAAGGAACTTGAGTTCAGTTTTATCAGATTCTTCAGAACCTCTAGGCACCATTCTAATTTCCCAGAAAATCAATTAGCCTGAGCTAATTTCCTAGAAAATTCCTTAGCATACAGTCTGCCCCACCAGACCTAAGAAATTCTCAGCACACATTTCATCACCACCGTACCCAGGTGGTGCGGCTACCTTCGACGACCCAGAAACCAAAGTCCGACACCCAAACTCTACGCGACTGAGACGTACGCGCTGCCACAGCTCGCTGACCTCAACTCACGTGCCGGCACGTGACGTCATTCTGCGGCCAGATTTCGGATCGGAGAACGCCATCCAGCTCGCCTGCATATCGCCTTTCTGCTGTAGCTTCTCTTTGGGATGGTTGCGTTTCTTTCCAGCTCTTCAGTACGCTGACATCGAAAAGAGATCGTCCAGGCTACGCGGAAATCTTTTCTTCCTTCCAGGCTTCGTAACGGACATACGCACGCTCCTTTGTCTGGCTGTTCTTCTTTGAGGTCTGGCACTCTGGCATCGACCCTCCGTCTGGATTAGCAGTCAAAGCCCAAACAGCTGGATCTTTTATTCTCCAGGTTGAGTCCACAAACGGGCTGCTCAGTCAAAGCCCAACTTTATTCTCCAAGGTCGAGCCCACAAATGGGCTGCTGTAAGTTCTCATTGGATATCTCAATTTTGAACTTAATTACATTCTCATAAAAATAAAACAAAAAAAAAAAACAAAAAAAAAAAAGAAATTAAAAAAAAAATGTCTTGTACGAGTGGATTTGACAGAGGAGTAATATGCAATTACTGTAAGCAGCCCGGACACTTGATCAAAGAATGTAGAAAATTGCTGTTCAAAAATCAAGGAAATCAGCTTGCTCATGTTGCTTCCGCTACCAGTTCATCCGATGGATCAATTGCTATTTCTTCAGACGAGTATGCCAAATTTATTTGCTACCAAGAAACTCTAAAGCATTCCTCTGTCCCTATCTCGGTAACCGCTAATTCAGGTATTTCAAACACGTGTCTTGTTTCCTCATCCTCGAAATGGGTCATTGACTCAGGTGCCACAGATCATATGACCGGTAATCCTAGTCTATTCTCGTCATTTCATTCATATTTACCTACTTCTAGTGTCACTTTAGCTGATGGATCTACCTCACCCGTTCTTGGATCTGGTACTGTTGTTCCAACTTCTACATTACCATTATCGCCTGTTTTGAGTCTTCCTAATTTTGCATTTAATCTGCTTTCCATCAGTAAAATCACTCGTACTCTTAACTGTTCTGTAACATTTTTTCCGGGATATTGTGTGTTTCAGGATCTGTTAACGATGCAGATTATTGGTAAAGGACATGAGTCAGTTGGTCTATATATTTTGGATACATCCATCACCAAAGGTATCTCTTGTCTTGGGGTTGGGACTTTGTTAGATGCTCATTACCGATTAGGACATCCATCTCTCCCATTAATGAAGCAAATAAATCCCCAATTTAATAAGATGACCTCTTTACAATGTGAGTCATGTCAATTTGCGAAACACCATCGTACTAGCTTAGGCCCGCGAGTTAATAAACGAGCAAATGCTCCATTTGACCTTGTTCACTCTGATGTTTGGGGTGCTTGCCCGGTTGTGTCTAAAGCTGGTTTTAAATATTTTGTTACATTTGTTGACGTTCTCGTATGACATGGTTGTATTTCATGAAACGTCGATCTGAGTTGTTCACTCATTTTTCTTCCTTTTGTGCTGAAATTAAAACTCAGTTTAACGTTCCTGTTCGGGTGTTAAGAGGAGACAATGCCCAAGAATATCTATCTGCTACATTTAAGTCATTTATGCTTCAACATGGCATTATTCATCAAACTTCATGCGTTGATACACCTCCTCAAAATGGAGTTGCGGAACGAAAGAACCGACATCTGTTAGAAACTGCAAGGGCTCTTCTATTCCAAATGAATGTGCCTAAACAGTTTTGGGCAGATGCCGTGTCTACTGCATGTTTTTTGATAAATCGAATGCCATCTTCTGTTTTGAATGGTAAAGCTCCTTATCATTGTCTATTTCCAAACAGAGAGCTTTTTCCTATCCCACCTAAAATATTTGGTTGCACTTGTTTTGTTAGAGATGTTAATCCTCATCTAACAAAGTTAGATCCGAAATCATTAAAATGTATTTTCTTGGGTTATTCTCGAGTCCAAAAGGGGTATAGATGTTTTTGTCCGAGTACTGGTCGGTATCTTGTTTCTATTGATGCATCATTTCATGAAAATACACCTTTTTCATCATCTAAGGCAGATATTCGTGAGAGTAATGATGATATTCTCATTTACACGATGACTATTCCTGAGTCCACACTTTCGACAAATATTCCACAAGTTACTGTTCATGATCCTAGGCCTCCCGTACATTTGGTATACACCCGTCGACACAAAGCACCTGATCACCCTCCACCGGCGATACCTGTGATTACTTTTCTTGATACTAGTTCGACTCCGATCTCATGTCCTGAACCAGTATCTGCATCTTCAGATCTTGTTTCCACATCAGATCTTGATCTCCCAATAGCAGTACGTAAAGGTACACGGTCTTGTACTCGTCCTATTTCTTCATTTGTGTCGTACAATCAGTTATCTCCTGCTTCATGTTCTTTTATTGCTTCCATTGATTCTATTTCTGTTCCCAAATATGTCAAAGAAGCTCTGTCTCATCCTGACTGGCGTCAAGCCATGGTAGAGGAAATGAATGCTTTAGATCTTAATGGTACATGGGATTTGGTTGACTTACCTACAGGGAAGAAATCTATTGGATGTAAGTGGGTCTTTGCTGTTAAGGTTAACCCAGACGGATCCGTTGCTCGGTTGAAAGCCCGATTAGTTGCGAAGGGTTATGCTCAAACCTATGGTGTTGATTATTCTGACACTTTTTCTCCTGTTGCTAAATTAACATCTGTCAGGTTACTTATCTCACTCGCTTCAATTCATGATTGGCACTTACATCAATTGGACATTAAAAATGCATTTTTGAATGGTGACCTTAAGGAAGAAGTCTATATTGAGCAACCTCCGGGATTTGTTGCTCAGGGGGAGTATGGTAAAGTTTGTCGACTTCGCAAATCTCTTTATGGTCTGAAACAGAGTCCTCGTGCATGGTTTGGGAAATTCAGTCAATCAATTGAACAATTTGGAATGATAAAAGGCAAATCAGACCACTCTGTATTTTACAAACAAACAGAATCAGGTGTCACATTGCTTGTGGTATATGTTGATGATATTGTGATTACAGGGAGTGATAATGCAGGTATTTTGGCCCTTAAGAATTTTCTGCATAGTCAATTCCAGACGAAAGATCTTGGCTCTTTGAAATACTTTCTGGGAATTGAGGTAACACGAAGTAAGAAAGGCATATTTCTATCTCAACGTAAATATGTACTTGACTTACTAGCTGAGACAGGGAAATTAGGGGCAAAACCAAGTACAACACCCATGGTTCCCAACGTGCAACTCACTCAAGAAGGCACACCGTTTGAAGACCCAGAAAGATATAGAAGACTGGTTGGAAAGCTTAATTATCTCGCAGTCACCCGTCCAGATATTGCTTATTCTGTGAGTGTAGTGAGTCAATACATGTCATCTCCGACCATTGATCATTGGGCTGCTGTAGAACACATATTATGTTACTTAAAGGGAGCACCAGGACGAGGTATTGTTTATCAAAACCATGATCACATGAGAATAGAATGCTTTGCAGATGCTGATTGGGCCGGTTCTAAAGATGATCGAAGATCTACATCTGGCTATTGTGTCTTTGTTGGTGGTAATCTTGTATCCTGGAAGAGTAAGAAACAGAATGTGGTTTCTCGTTCTAGTGCTGAATCAGAATATCGAGCTATGGCACAATCCGCATGTGAGATAATATGGATACACCATTTATTGAATGAAATTGGATTGAAGACACCAATGCCTGCTCAGTTGTGGTGCGATAACCAAGCTGCTATACACATAGCAAACAACCCCGTATTTCACGAGAGAACAAAGCATATTGAGGTTGATTGCCATTTTATTCGAGAGAAGATACAAAAAGGATTAATCTCTACCGGGTATGTGAAGACTGGAGAACAACTTGGAGATTTATTCACTAAAGCTCTAAATGGGATTCGAGTTGATTACTTATGTAACAAGTTGGGCATGATAAATATCTATGCTCCAACTTGAGGGGGAGTGTGAAAGTATTATTGTATCTAGGAATATGCTTTAGGAATATGCTCTAGAATATGCTTTAGGAATATACTCTAGACATTATTATTGTATAGCATCTTATATAGGAATATTCCATCTCTGTAATATATATATAGGGCCTTAACCCTCTAATGAAACACACAGAAAATCCTTCTCTCCATCTTTAATAGCATTGTAGTTTATATTTCAACACTAACATTCTCTTTGATGAAGGTTTCTGCCCAAAATCTATTAGGACACCCAACTCTAGTTCATTAACTCTACCCATCTCAGATCTACAATATTTTGGGTATTGGTCTAGTGCACTAGCAAACCTTTGAGCTTCATAGGTAAGATTATCCGACTTGCGCCCTTCAGACTCTTCTAGATTATCTGGTGAATCAACGTCTTCTGCCCCTTCCTGAATATCATCCTTCGTCTCCAATTGTTGAACTGAAGGTGCAGACGGCTTCAACTTAACGTTTGTTTCCAGTTGTGGCCCCCCTGAAGATCCTTGTCCTTTTGCGCCTGGACTTATGCCTTCTGAAATGGCTGATTCCTTTAGGTACGTTGAAATTAGTGCATTATGAGATGCTGATTGGGACTGCGATAAGGAAGCCTGCGAACAGAGAGAACTAGTTCGCATCTGCGAACTGGGAGAAGCAGATTGCGACCACACTTGCGAACTCCTCCTCGAATCTGTTGGCGACTGCCAACTGATGTCTTTTTCTTGCGAATTGCGATACAGTTTGAGAATTGGGAGAAAAGACTTGCGATGAAGAGAATTGAGGATAAACAGTTCGCGAAGAAGCCTTAGAACTGGAAGCCGATACTGAAGCCTGCGAACTGAGACATGTTGTTCGCCTGCCAGGTTGATGACCTATCTTGTTTATTCTACTCCACATCTCCGCAGCCCATTCATCGAAGGGTTTTTGATTTTTTTCAACCTTTTCCAGGTTATTCTCCATGTGCGATGGTGATCTGGGACAATCTACTTGCGACATAATATGCGAACTGAGAGAAGACACCTGAGAACTGGAAGAAGGAGTTTCTCGCGATTTGGATGAAACCTGCGCAGTTCGCGACAATCTGGGAGAAATAGTTCGCATATGCGAACTGAAGGATGTTGTTGGCGAAGACTTCTGCGAAGTGAGGGACGTTCTTGGCAACCGTGATCGTCGTCTAGTCTGAAATTGTTCTTCCATCGCAGCTAGCTTTCTGTCAAGGTTTTCCGCCATTGTTTTCAGGTCTGTTAAGTTCTTCATCGATGTCTGATGCCTCTCCCACGAATCCCTCATATTCTCCAGCGAATCCATCTTATGCTCTGATACCATTGATAGACCACTGGTAAATCCAACTCACAACACAATGAATCACAAACAATTAACGAGGAACAAGATCGAAGAACGTTTATTGATGTAGGAAGGAATTACAGAAAGTACACAAGCTTAGGGCTATTCGAGACGCCCCAATCTCCCAGACCTCAGTCAACCAAAATAACAGCCTCCTTCTGCTAGCTTATTAACTTCTATTTATAGTAAAAGCCCACTTATTATTATCTAATTAATAGACCCACTTATTATTATCTAATTAATAGGCCCGCTTATTATTATCTCTAATAATAGGCCCATTCCTATCAGGGAAAGGCTTCATGACCAAAAAATTTAGGGATGTTTAACTAATGATTTAATAAAACTTATAGATTCATCACCTTCACATTTTGCTGGTACTCTCTGATTTCTAAATTGATGTGACTTAAGTTTAAATGTTTAATTGTTGCCTTATCCTACATTTCAGGCATATGCAGTGGGAAGGGCCTTGACTCAAAAGTTGAAAGAACTGATACCTAGACAGATGTTTAAAGTTCCAATCCAGGTAAAACAAAAAAAATCCTTTTTAATTCATTCATGAGAAAGATTTGAGTGTAAATTTTGTTTTACGTCATCATTACGTAGTTCTGTTTGCTGCTTTTCTTCAATGTAAGGGAAAATTCTTTATGCCTTCTGTTGCACTTAAAAATGGGAAGAAACTCCCTTTGCAAAATTAATTATCCCTTGAACCTCATTAAACAAACATAAGCTTTTAGGATCAAATTAAGAGTGGATTTTGGTATGCAAATCCTATACTGGCAAGAGAAGGGTTCCTGTTACTAGATTGTTTGTGAATGTTTCTTCTCAATAAGGATAAACAATCAAATTGATACAAACTGCCTAGATAAACTTGAAGTTCTCAGTATAACATGGTTCAAATATTAGGCATTTTGGATGTGATCTAGTAAAAAAATTGCAATCAAGTCAAAGCTCCCAGTTTTCCGAATAGAAGCACTGAGCCTATGCTATCATTGGTTTGGAGCTATTTACTTTATGTACCTTCTATGTCTCAGTTATCTTATATAGGAATCCCCTAGAATGTATGAAAACTCTTAGAGCTAGATACAAAGGATCTATGTTGCGCATAATAAATCTTGCTGTTGTTGTACCTTCTTTGATGTTGTTTACAATCTAGGAATAAGTAGTTACCCATTGTTAGATACCGAAATCGAAAGAGGGAAATTGATGTTTATTAAGAACATGAAAGAAGAACAGAACTGAAACGATACACCATTAAGCACTTAGCGCAGCCTCTCTCCCAAACTCCGAGCCCAAGTCTCAAGTTCTGCCTGCCTCTATTCTACTCCCCCAACTCCTATTTATTCTTTTCCATTTGGGCTAGCCCAATGCTATTAAAATTCAGAGCCTAAACCCCTTTTATTTTACAATATAAAAAGACTAATATTATTCTTATTACTAGTACTGTCTAGGTTTCTATCATTACTCCCCCTTTGACAACCACCTTGTCCTCAAGGTGGGGAGTAATTGAGTAAGAAACAGCCATGCCAGTACGCTTTATCCTTGCTCCTCTGCCTTCCCAGTACTTCAGCTTGGATAGTTTTCTTCGTTTTGGTATCCACTCAATCTCTTTGTCAACATAGTGATCCTTTTGGCCAAGTTTGTTATCTCCTTCACTGCCCCATGTCTGATCTCTTATAAAATCTCCAATTGAGAATACAAAGTCAGCTTCGGGACTGTAAGTCTCAGTCTTCACATCAGCAACCAAGAAAGGTAAGAAAGAACTTGCCACACTGCCACCAGGCCAACTCCATATGCATAATCCTTCTTCACCCAACTCATCAGTAAGAATCTTTAGTAATAACAAACCACCATCACCCACCATCTGACCAATAGCTGCATGCACAGAATCTCAGTTAGTACTCCGACCATAACAATCTGCATCTCCGATGAATAGAATGTTAGGGTTAGATCTCACACACGCACGAATCTGAAAAAACTTGAAAAGAACGAGAAGAACGGCACACGAATATAACGTGGTTCAGCCAGTAAGTGTTACTGACCTAATCCACGGGGGCAACTAGGGTTTTCTTTCTTATTGAGATGGTGAATGATACAAGTCATAGTTTACAAGTACAGGAGTCAATATATATAGGCAAACAATTAGGCTAAAACACTTAATAAGGTTCTGGGCCTGACGGCCACCGAAGAAACAGGCCCAACTAGGGCTGCCTGCACATTTAACTAGAGCAGGCTGCTGCTCTTTGTTTATTTGGCTCCCGGGTCTGAATGGGCCGAAGCCTACAGCCCAAGAATGTCCCACTTGGAGGCTTCGAAACACAATCAACTGCACTCCACTCCTCTATACTTCTGTAAAATTCATCTGTGTTTAGCTCCTCCTAGTTGCCACCTGCCTTCTCAACATTATTCTTGAAGGCCAGCTGAAGTTACACAGAACTTCAGCTTGTCCAGCGTCTTTGCACCTGAGATGTTCTTCAAGTTCATCGTTCCTCCACTGATCAACCCTCTGACAAATTGATATCTCATCCCAATGTGCTTTGTTTTCTCATGATAGACTGGATTCTTGGCAAGTTTCACTGCACTCTCATTATCACATCTCATTATCACATTGTAACGAGTAATCTGCTTGCTTTTTGTCTAACTCGTCAAGGAAGTTCCTCAACCAAACCAGCTCTTTACTGGCTTCAGCAACTGCCATGTACTCTGCTTCGGTTGTTGAAAGAGCTGCACTTTTCTGAAGTTTGGACATCCAACTAACTGCAGTTCCTCCCACTGTGAAAATGTACCCCGTAGTGCTTTTAAATGTTTCTTTGCATCCACCCAAATCAGCATCAAAATACCCTCTCAAAATTACCTCTTTACCTTTGAAACATAACCCCATCTTTGTAGTACCCTTCAAATACCTAAGTATCCATTTAACTGCTTCCCAATGTTCCCTCCCCGGTTTTGACATGAAGCGACTAACAACCCCGACTGTATGAGCAATGTCTGATCTCATGCACACCATAGCATACATGAGGCTACCAACTGCAGATGCAAAAGGAACTTTAGCCATTTCTGCTTTCTCTTCGTCTGTTCTCGGAGACTGGTCTTTGGTAAGCTTGAAGTGACTTCCCAAAGGCGTGTTTCTTGGTTTAGTCTTTTCACCATTCATTTTGAATTTCTCCAACACTTTTCCAATGTACTTCTCCGGGGATAGTGTTAAAGAACCATTCTCCTTGTTTCTGACTATGCTCATCCCTATATTCTGTTTGGCTGGACCCAAATCTTTCATTTCAAATTCTCGAGAAATTTGTTTCTTTAACCTGCTGATCTCTTTCATATCTGCACCAGCTATCAACATATCATCTACATAAAGAAGTAGAATGATATATGAACTCTTTAACCTCTTCACGTAACAACAATGGTCCATCTCACATCTTCTGTAACCTGTCCTTATCATGAAGTTATCAAACTTCAGATACCACTGCCTCGGTGCTTGTTTTAGACCATATAAGCTCCGTTTTAGTTTGCAGACCAGATTTTCTTTACCGACAACCTGAAATCCTTCAGGTTGTGCCATGTAGATATTCTTATCAAGATCGCCATGTAGAAATGCTGTTTTAACATCTAGCTGCTCTAGATGTAAGCCCTCTGCAGCTACAATACTTAGAACCAATCTGATGGTGGTCATTCTAACCACTGGAGAAAAAATCTCATTATAATTCACTCCCTTTTTCTGCTGAAAACCTTTGACCACTAAACGAGCTTTGTACCGTTTTGACCCATCAGGTTCATCCTAGATTCTGAATACACATTTATTTTGAAGTGCCTTCTTACTTGGCGGAAGCTTAGTAAGAACCCATGTCTTGTTCTTGTGTAAGGCATCCATTTCTTCTTTCATAGCCTGCTCCCACTGAAACGAATCATTCTGCTTTACTGCTTCGAAGTAACTTTCTGGTTCTCCATTTTCAGTCAAAAGGAGATAATTGACTGAAGGGCTGAATCTTTCTGGAGGTTTAGTGACTCTAGTGGATCTTCTGACCCACTGTGTTTCAACTGGCTGCGGCTGCACAGGTGAAGGTGCTCCTTCATCCTCTGAATTTTCACTATCAACAGAGTCTTCGTGATCATCCTCAGACTCGTCAGTACTGGAATCATTTTCCATGCTCCCATTGCCTTGAGTATCTTCAGACTCTCTGTTTCCGATGACATCATTTTCAAACTCAACCTGCTCTTTCTGAATCTTTGAGTTTTCTGTGCTTCTGTCTTTATAAAGTTCAGCCTCGTTGAATGTAGCATGTTTACTTCTGACTACCTTTCTACTTTCAAAGTCCCAAAGTCGATAACCCATGCTGTCTCCCGCGTATCCAATGAAAGTATTTATCTTGGCTTTAGCATCTAACTTGTCACCATCTTTGATAAGATCATAAGCACTGCATCCAAATACCTTTAAATGCCCATACTTTACCGCTTCTTCTTTCCACTCTTCCCCTGGTATCTTGAAACCCAATGGTACTGATGGCCCCCGGTTGATAAGATAAGCGGCAGTGTTCACTGCATCAGCCCAGAACGTCTTTGGAAGCCCAACATTAAGTCTCATACTTCTGGCCCTCTCATTCAAAGTTCTGTTCATCCTTTCTGCCACTCCGTTCTGTTGAGGAGTGCCTGGAACCGTCTTTATCATCCGAATGCCATGTTCAGCACAGTAATCAATAAACTCCGTGCTAATGTATTCACCACCATTGTCCGATTTCAAGCACTTTACCTTCAAATTAGTTTCCAATTCAACAACAGTTTTCCACTTCTTAAAAATATTGAAAACTTCAAACTTATTTTTAAGAAAGTAGACGCATACCTTGTGTGTTGAGTCATCAATGAAGGTCACATAGTAGCTTGATCCTCCCAGGGAAGAGACGGGCGTTGGCCCAAACACATCCGTGTGAACTAGCTCCAGCTTATGAGTTTTCGGTGTCTGACCTGTCTTCACAAAAGAAACCTTCTTCTTCTTGCCAAATACACAAGGCAACGAGCATCTTTATTCCCTTTTCACTCATTTGGCCTAACCGTTGATGCCATAAACTGGATGGATTCAGCCCGCTGGTCACTGCATTCATCTCATCATCAGGAGCTTCAACCATATATAAAGTACCCCTCCTTTTGCCTCGGGCGATTACAAGATTCCCCTTTACAACTTTCCATCGTCCTTCACCAAAAGTAACATCAAATCCCTGATCATCCAACTGCCCAATAGAAATCAACATCTTCTTAAGGCTTGGAATGACCCGAACGTCTTTCAATGTCCAAGTGGTGCCCAATGAAGTCTTTAAATCTATGTCACCCATCCCTGTGATGTCAAGAGAGTTGTTTTTAGCCAAACGAACTTTACCAAAATTACCTGTCCGTAGATTCTTCATCGCCTTCGTGCTGAAAGTAGCATGAAATGATGCACCATAATCCATAATCCACGTTTCTGTTGAGTTTTCAACACAGCAGATAAGGGCATCATCTGAATCGTCAGTGGCTGCATTTACTTCCTTCGTTTCTGAAAATTTAGGGCATTGATTTCTGAAATGCCCAGTTTCTTTGCAGTTCCAGCATTGAATATCTTTTCTCGGTTTTGACTGGCTCCTCTTTCTAGACTTTGATCTGCCTCTGCCATTTCCCTTCTCTTTCTTTCTACCTCTCCCTTCAGCACTTAACAAAGCACTAGAAGATTCTCCAGAACTCCTCCTTCTTATATCCTCTCCTAGGATAATGTCACGAATGCCCTCAAATGTGAGTTTAGAGGTTCCAGTTGAACCGCTAATCGCAGTGACTGTTCCTGACCAACTTTCTGGTAACGAGGATAACAAGAATAAAGCTTGGACTTCATCTTCAAACTTATCAACAGATAGTAAACGGGATATGATAGTATTAAACTCATTAACGTGTGAGGTAACAGATGCACCTTCTTTCATTCTGGTGTTTACTAGCTGTCTTATCAGAAATACCTTGTTTGATGCCGATGGTTTCTCATACATGTTTGACAAGGCCTTCATCAAACCACATGCGGTAGTCTCCTTCAAGATGTTAAACGCCACACTCTTGGCTAGGGTAAATCTGATAACAGCCAAAGCTTTCCTATCTAGAGCAGCCCATTCATCATCACTCATCTTTTCTGGTCTTTTCCCTGTCAAGGCTTGATCCAAATCCTTCTGACACATCAAATCCTCAATTTGCATCTTCCACCATCCAAAATCTTGTCCATCAAACTTCTCGACTTTGGTTTTTCCATCATCTGCCATCGTCCCAGTCCTTCACAATCTGCCGGCTATATTCTTCTGCGGCAGCGCACTGTTGGCGGCACAAGGAGGCTGAAGACGCAAGGCGGCAGCAGCGGTGGTGGTCGAATATGTGGTGGTGGCTAACCTTGCTCTGATACCAGTTGTTAGGGTTAGATCTCACACACGCACGAATCTGAAAAAACTTGAAAAGAACGAGAAGAACGGCACACGAATATAACCTGGTTCAGCCAGTAAGTGTTACTGACCTAATCCACGGGGGCAACTAGGGTTTTCTTTCTTATTGAGATGATGAATGATACAAGTCATAGTTTACAAGTACAGGAGTCAATATATATAGGCAAACAATTAGGGTAAAACACTTAATAAGGTTCTGGGCCTGACTGCCACCAAAGAAACAGGCCCAACTAGGGCTGCCTGCACATTTAACTAGAGCAGGCTGCTGCTCTTTGTTTATTTGGCTCCCAGATCTGAATGGGCCGAAGCCTACTGCCCAACATAGAACACCTTGATGATAACAGTTTTGTATGAAATCCTGAATTATTTTCTCAAAGTACTGTTTATTGTTGGAATGATCAACCAATGCTGAAACGTTATCCATCACAAAGATTTGAAAATCTGACTGTCAAGCCAAACAGTTGAGCATGACAATCCAAACTCCTGGAGCCAGTTTCACTTTCAGTCCCATAGGTTGAAGGCCCTTGGCCGCCCTTAGTATTGCATGTCATTCAGCCTTCAACCCCTCCCTTAGTATTTATGCGGAAAACGCTAAATCACAGAGTTCAGGATTAGTATTTATGACACTCATATCTTGCTGTATGTTCTTCCGTTTCAAGCGTATTATATCTCGTTGGAAAATCATTTTGAGTTCTAAAGCTATTGTTCCGATTTCACTCCGAACACGTGTAGAAAAATTGATCTCATCACATCTTGCTGTATTTAGTTCCGTTTATAGCGTTTTCTATCTCGTTGGAAAGATCTTATCGAGTTCTAAAACTCGTCTTCAGGCATCGGTTTCAAAATATTACGGGAAGACTACCTAATGAACCGAATTTCAAATCCCCGACTGTATTTACGCTAAAAATGCTCTATTTACGCTGAAAGCGCTAAATCACAGAGTTCAGGATTAGTATTTTTGACACTCATATCTTGCTGTATGTTCTACCGTTTCAAGCGTATTATATCTCGTTGGAAAGATCATTTTGAGTTCTAGAGCAATTGTTCCGACACAATTTACAATGCATCAAGTATAAGGTACAGATTAACCTTAAGAAAAGATCATACAGAACTTTATCTTGAAGAAAATCCTCAGTATCCAGACCCAAAGAGCTCATCCTGATCATTTCTTTGATATGTGCCCTCTCTAAAGCCACCCACAGATCAGCACCACTGTGTTCATTGAATGGATCAAGGATTGAATCCAACACTGCGTGAGAACAGAATAAGCAACTGTAGTATAATACCAACAACCTTATGGAAGTCCATCAATCCTAACTTTGAAACATCACCATCATCAATACTGATCCTCCCTCTTTCCAGTTCCACAAGCCTGAAGAAAGCATTAAACATGCTAGATTTCCCTTCCTTCTTTTTGTTAGCTTCACCTTTCTCTTTAACTGTACAAGGTTGAACATTTACTTCAGCTTCCCTTCCTTTAACCCTTTTGGGCCTTAAATATAAATTCATGAGTTGTTCCCTCTTGGAGACATCAATTCCAGTAACCTGACTAGTAGGGTCCAGATCCACACTGATTCTACTTAACCGGTAATCTGAAATAGGCCCAAAAACATTGTCATGATTCTTAAATTTGATAACAGCACTGAACTTCTTTATTGCATGATTTTTTCTTTCATCATCCCGATTGAAAACTGATTCTTCAAATGAAATTATCTGTGGATCATCCTGCACCAATGATTTTGCCAAGGCATCCGGGAGTATTATAACACAGTCACCCACCTGAGCTTGGTCCTGACTTTCAGCATAAGCAACACACTTCTCCCTCCAAGGAAAAGATAAGTAGTCTGTTTCAGCACACACAAACACTCCTACAAACAACCTTCTAATTGTTTCATGCTCTTCCCTACAAAAATAAACTGTCTGTGCCATGCCTTCACCCAATAAAGCAGGTCCAGGAAGTTTGATACTATAAATGACCTGATCTAGTTTTTGATCTGGTTCAGATGAATCAACAGATTTTGGCACGGCTTTCACTAGAGTCGAATAATCAATCTTATCACCTGTCCTTTTTTACTTATCTACGCTTGTGACCTCCTCCTCCTGCGCTTTTGGTTTTGACAACCTCAACTCAATGTTCATTGTCGGCGATGAAGTTCCTGGTGAACCATTTTCGGATTCAGCTTGGTCTAGGGTTCTGTAAACTAATGAAGCTTGCGCATGGTGAGGAACAGCTAGCGTCGACGAACTGTGACATGCGACCATAGACGACAATTGCGAACTGGTCATTGATGACAGGTGAGGAGCGGCTACCGACGGTGAAGAGTCTGGCGAACAGGAAGAAGATGCTGCCGACTGCGTACTGGGACTGTGAGATGTGGCTAGCGACTGAGATTAGACCGGCGGACTATGTGGATTACCTCGAGACTGTGAAGACTTCTCGCTAGCAGCTGGAGTTCGTCGCCTGTTAGTTCACGACCTTCCACAGGATTTCCGATGATTCTGGTTCATCACGATAAGGCGCAGCTCGGCCATCACCCCATCCAACTTGTCTGCTATCGATCGCACCTCTGCTATGTTGCACGGAAACGCGAAAATCATGAGGAAACGGGAAACGGGAAACGTCAACTTTTGTTCAAAAAAGGCTTGTTTGGAGAGTTTCGGTAGAGTTTCCGTAGAGTTTCCGAAATGGAAACCTAATCTTTCCCCAGAGTTTCCGTGCTACATAGCACCTCTGTGCAGTTGCGTTCCAGTTTCTGCTCGATGTTGTTCACTTTTTGCTGGAGATTCTCCAATCAATGTTCCATTTTTTTATCGCATCAATCTCATTCACAGTCCGCAGGATCGGACTGCTCTGATACCAATGTTAGATACCAAAATCGAAAGGGGGAAATTGATGTTTATTAAGAACATGAAAGAAGAACAGAACTGAAACGATACACCATTAGGCACTTAGAGCAGCCTATCTCTCCCAAACTCCCAGCCCAAGTCTCAAGTTCTGTCTGCCTCTATTCTACTCCCCCAGCTCCTATTTATTCTTTTCCATTTGGGCTAGCCCAATGCTATTAAATTCAGGGCCTAACCCCCTTTTATTCTACAATATAAAAAGACTAATATTATTCTTATTACTAGTACTGTCTAGGTCTCTATCACTCATCTTATGTGTGGATCATATTTTCGTTGCAGGCATGCATAGGCTCTAAAGTTGTTGCTAGTGAAGCTCTGTCTGCAATCAGGAAGGATGTTCTTGCCAAGTGCTATGGTAAAGTACTTTATGGGAACACTCCTTGCAGAATATAAAGTTGTGCCACAAAGTTATTTTCGTATCATGAAATGGAGTTGTTGGGCATTAAGTGGCTAAAATAAGTCAATTGCATTGTTCTTAGTAGTTTGTGTATAATCATTTGATGCTTCTCTTAGAATTCACTCTCAGTGAGAGTTTTCATCTTTAGGTTTATCAAAAACCTGCTTTACAGTCAACCTACAGAAACCTATATTTAGTTTTGGTGAAATATAAAGACAGAAGTGTGAGCGAGATGAATAGGGGATAAATGAGAAATGTCTCTTGTTTGGTAACAGAATAAATAGAGAGGAGATAAAATGAAAATGGTAGGCGGGCCATGACTTGTATTTTTTATCTCACCTATTTTCTCTCAATTTTTAACTACTTTTTCTCCGTTCTCCTATTGATCAGCACACAAAATGTATTATACTTTTCTACTGTTTCTCCCTTCTCCCTTGTCACCCATTTCTCTGATTTTACATATTCCCTAAACCAAACAAAGGCTAGATATACAGTCGTGCACCATAATGGCAAACTGCTTTTGGTACGAATTGAGAGTATCAAAGAAAAATATTTGCAAGGTAGGCTGGTAGGTATGTCAACCTGGTATTTGATGAAATATCTGAAGGGTCCAGGACACAGAAGGATCACATTTATCATGCGTTATTTCATCTGTGGGTTACTGGAAACTGTAATTCAACAATTGCCAAGGCTAGAAACTTACTTGTACATGCTTATGGTTTTATTTCCAGGTGGTGACATTTCAAGAAAAAAGAAGTTGCTTAAGAAACAGGTAATTCCTCATTTCCTTGCGTGTTTAGCTTTTCCATTTTGGTCATATTTTCACATGCATATAGCTTAAGCCACAGCCACACCAAGTTCACTGGAGCATTAATACGTTGTAATTACTATCAATGGGCTGGCTAGTATAAAATCTCAAATTTATGACATCACAAAAATAGTCTTGTTTTTGTGCATCCTTTCGAAACAGGGTTTCGAACCTCAGGAAACATATACCAATGATAGAAAGAAGTCACTGGCAATTTGCATTCATCAGATGCATTTGAGTAGCTTTGCTTACAATTTCATTGCTAGAATGATATTCTCTCCAATCATAATGTTTAATACAGGCTAGTGACTCACTGACTCCATATTCAGGGTCATACACTATGACCTCATTATGAAAATATGGTGATGGTGAGCCAGCCAAATAAGTGTTGCCTTAGACTATAAAGGAGTCATATAACTCATATTTGACCCAGTAAACTTTCACTTCTTGTGAAGTATTTTAGTAGACTTGGACTCGATGAACTTTCACCTCTTGGGACGTATTTCACACATTTCCCGTCATTTAATTTATTGCCCGTATTGAAGCATAATTAGTGTTTTTGAATCCATGAAATCCAATCACCCTGCCATTCTAGAGCTATACAGAAGAAGAAAAACCAGTGTTGTCTAGGAAACGTTACAAACTTATGAAATGTTACAAAGTGTACTAACATATTGAGCCATGATGTACACAATTAGTTGTGCTCTTATTTTCTTGTGTTTTTAAGAATAAGAAAATATGAATCATAATGTTCCATAAAAGGTGAACCCTTGACACCCAAGGTGCCCCTCCACATATTTCCCATTAGCTTTTAAACATGTTAAGATATCAAGATATCTTAATTTGTGCTTGACATTGATTTCAGGCTGAGGGAAAGAAAAGAATGAAATCATTTGGTAAGGTTGATATACCTCAGGAAGCATTCATGGCTGTTCTCAAACTTGAGAAAGAGGTACTATGACTACATTAGTTAGTGCAAAGGGAGATGTAGTATTAGAGGATATATTCTGGTACTTCTTTGAGGTAACCCAATTTGTATCACTCCCTCCATATCTATTTAATTGACCCATTTTCTTTTTTACGTAGTTAGGATTATATGAAAAGTAAGAGGTTTTGGTACTATAGCGGTACTGTAGCTGCTTTTTGAGTGAGTTTCTTTCCAAAAAGGGAAATGAGACAATTAATTTGATACATCCCAAAAAGGAAAGTGGGACAACTAAATAGATACGGATGGAGTATATTTTAAGGTAACCCAAAATGTAAAATGCATCACATTCGTTTATGCCATATTTACTTCATCGGTAAACTATTTATTTGAAATAGATTTGATGTGTATCATCTCACCACTCATCCGTTTAACAACTTCCATTCTATTTCTTGTGGAAATATTTATATCCCAAAACAAGATGTTCCTTGAAGAGTTTTGAAATGTGAGGTATAAAAAAAGAACATTATCATCCCGCTCCAATCTCCGTGTGATGGGAAACAATATATCCAACTTCTTCTGCTTATCTAGGCCTCGTACAAAAATAAAAAAGAAAGCTGCAATCTGAGATTACGCAATGAAAACTGCAATCTCAAGATCCAAGAATCAGTATAAGAATTCAATCTTATCTTGTTTTCATGTTTGGTCTTTCATGTTCCTAAATTGGTTTTTAGAAATATATATAGTCAGTCCGTACTGACTAGAATAGCTGTGTAGCCGGTTAGGGATGGACCCACCGGTTCGAACCGGCCTGGGAACCGGACCGGCCTGCTACTGTGCGGGCCCGGATGACCGGTTCCGAGCTTTAGCCCGGTTTGGGCGAGTCTGGCGGGCTGGGCCGGAGCGGTTCGGGCCGGGCCTGGTTCATTTTTTTGTTTTTTCAATTTTTTTTCTTTTCCTTGGGTAGGGCTGGGTGTTTTGGGGGGGGGGGGGGGGTATGGGGGTGGATGTGAGGGAGGGGGGTCGGGGGTTAATTACAAAGCCAAAAAAAAAAATTACCTTGAATCAAGCCTGGTCCGGCCTGGACCCGGTATCAACCTGGGCCGGTTCCGGGCCCAACATCCTAGAAAAAATGCTTGGCTTGAATCGGCCCAGAGCCCGGTCCGGGCTCGGTCCATGCCTATGGCCAGTGGCTAAGCTCGTTTGAGTGTTTTCCCATCGATTTTTTCAGTGAAACTGTGTGAACATGTTCTTGATGAAGTGTAAAACATTCAAACAAAATTTTCTCAAAAAACCCAATCGGGAAGAAAGTTAAATAAAACGTTGAAAAACACTGCCAAAATTTACATAAAAAATGCAGTATTTGCCAACAATTTACTTGACTGACTTCTCGAAAGAGTTTTTGATGAAATTTTGTGTGAATGTTCTAGACTAACGGAGAACATGTTCACAATATTTCATCAAAAAAATTGTCTGGAAAAAAGTCCAATTGCTCAATTACTTTACGTAAATACTGAATATGTTGTGTTTTTAAAATTAGGGCCATAAAATTGATTTAAAAAATTCCTTTTTTCCCAAATAGTATATTTTTTTGAGTTTTGCTTGAGGTACCCCAAAATGTACCACATTTTAATCCCACACTCTAACGTGCGGTCATAAATGGGGCAATTCATTTAAGTGGTGCCCCACTTAAATGAATTGCCCCATTTATGCTCACACGTTAGGGGGGTGTGGGTAAAAATGGGATACATTTTGGGGTACCTTTAGCATTTGTGATTTTTTTTTGATAAAAATTTCACATTTTGTTTCGATAACAGAGTTTATTTTGTGATGTAACTTGTGTTATGACATGAGTATGTTTTATTGGCGTTGATGAAAAATGTAATGTAAGTGTATGTAAAATATAACTCGTTGAGACAATTCAAATGTAACTCACACATGAAAAGATTTAACTCGAGCATAAGAAAATGTAACTCAAACATAAAACGATGTAACTCGCGCATAGAAAAATGTAACTCACGCATAAGACAATGTAAGTTGCGCATAAGATATAAGTTGCACATATAATGATGTAACTTGTGCTTAAAAAGATGTAACCCGTGCATAAAAAAATGTAATTGCGCACAAGATCAAAATCAAGCATAAGAAGATGTTATACTATCAAATATAATTTCATAAATTTTTATAAACATAACTTACACATATAAAAATAGTCGTGGACTCGGGCCGGGTCGGGCCCGGGCCGGGCCTAGGCCTGGTCGGGCCGCCGGTTTGTATGACATGGGCCCGGGACCGGCCCAAGGGTTGGACGGGTCTGGTTCGGGTCGGGCCGGGCTGGTTAAAGATTTTTTTTTATATAATTTATATTTTATAGTTTATAGTTTTATACAAGTATTAAAAACAAACTTCAAGTGCATTTATTTGAAATGAAATAGGAACTACATTTGAAAATTAAAACAAACTTCAAGAGACAAACATTTTGAAAATTGTAATCAATCGGAACTTCCCGCACCTCCCGATCCTTTGTCTTTGTAACATGATTTTATATGCTTCATTGCCATCCCGTATCCGCCTGAAACCCCCATGCTACATTTTCCCCCGCACCATTTGCAAGTTGCGTACCACATCCCGGTCTTCGGGTCCTTTTGCTTATCAAAATTATACCGTATAACGGCATCTTGATTTTCCATCTTAAGTATAAAGTAGATATATAAATAATAAATATAATATATTGGAGAACAAGAGAATTAAAGAGTAGAGAGTTAAGAATAGGATTTAGGAAGAATTGGAGAAGAGATGGAAAAATGTTTAAGATTAGGAGTATTTATATGTTTTTTTACCCCCCACCCCCCACCCCCCCAGCCCCGGACCCCCCTGCATCCCACCCAACGGCTATATAGCCGTTTGGGTTGTCCCCAGCCCACCCCCCAAGGCCATAACGGCTACTTTGGGGCCCAACAATTTTTTTTTAAATTGGACCGTTGGACCCGGGCCCGAACCGGCCGGGCCGGGTCAACCTTTTCAGGAACCGTATCCGCCCCGCCCCTCCCCGCCGGTTCGGGTATACACCCGGTCCCGGACCGCTCGACCGGGCCGGTCCCAGGCTCGCACAGTAGCGGGCCGGGCTGGGTCACGGGCCGGGTGGCCCGAACCGAATCCAACCCTATATAAAAATGTAAACCACAAATATGAAATCATAATCTCATACTTTATCAAATGTAAATTGAAATAAACAAATTTAATATCTTAAAACAGTAAAAACTTATAAAACAGATAATAAATATATTATAGGAAAAAGTGTATGAATATGAAAAATATATTACAAAAAAAATGATAAATATAACAAAATTACAGAAAAAATAAATTTGGTTGTAAAATAAAGAAAACAATATATGATAAAATAGCTAAAATGACCCTTTAAAACAATTTCAACCAATTTCGTCAGGAAAGTAACTTCAATCTTTTTTTTTATATTAATTAATTAAGTGAATGAAATCAAAAGTTACGTGTTTGGTGAAAAAGTTGGCTGATAAGTTGAAAAGACAGAATTATCAAACGGGCTCATACTTAATGTAAACTAGTCCAGTCAAGTCAAATATCCATCCATTCTATTTGAATTTGATAATTTATACTCGATTTGCATTTGTATTTATTTATGATTCAAAATTTCACACTTAAAAGAGAGTTTAAATTTGATTTGATTACTTTTTTGAATATGTGTTATTATATTGAAATATTCATATATGAACACACCTTTATTATTCTTTCTTAATTATGTTATATATTATACATAGTATATAGTGTTTAAATTGTAATCTTAATTAGAATAAAATACACAAATAATCAAATACAGTAGTCATACCGACTCATACGTAATATTTGTTTCTTCTTTTTGCTTAATTTTTTCACATTGAAAAATCAATAAGCGTCATGCAGGAAATTATTTTATAAATCTAGAGTGACCATAAGAATTATAAATAAAGTGACTAGAAATAACAACTAGAAAACTAAAACTTGAGAAATAAGAGACTAAAAATGGAATGTCAATTTATGAAATTTAGTAGTGAAATTTATATATAAGTTGGACATGCAGACTACATATTTAATTAACACTCTAACATCTATATTTATTATTATTACTATTACTAGTACAATTGTTATTGCTATTATTATAATTAACAACAAAAAATTGAAATCGAATATAACAGTAGTCATATATTTATTTGGAAAATGCTTGAATCAAAATTGCTATTCTTATATGTATTCTTATTTGAACTTATTAGATTCAAATAGTCACATATGAGTTGGAATCATGAATTGGGCGCAAAATATTTAATTCATTCATTTAACTCTACCCTCCACATGTGGGAAAAAGTAAATACACTTTTTGAATGCAATACCGTATGTCCGTATTTGGTATCAACTGTTAGCATCATTGTCTTAATTACTATTTTATAATAATACTCTGTAATACGTAGTAGTAATTATTATTGTTGTTATTATTATTGTTACGATTTTATTTTTCTTTGAAGGGAGCACTGGAGCAGCAACAGATGCTATAATAGTAACTATTACACCAGATATGTGTACATACATTGCTAGATGGGAGGATAAAACAACCAGACACTAGCAAACATGCTAAAGTTGATCCATGTTAAAGGAATGAAGAACTTCTTCCAACAATTTTCGTTTATCCGGGCCTAACGGATTTTCTAGTCCATCGCAGTGAGAAATATTCAAAAGATAGAGTTTGTTAGATGAGATGAAAGCAGCAGACAACACCCTCTTCATCCCTCCTCTGCTGCTATCAACTTTGTACTCAAACTCATAAACTTCCATTCCTCCTTTCCCTGACCTCTCAGATACTCCAATCACTTCGGCTTCTATTGTGCTTTCCTGTTAGAGAAAAATAACATCATCAATAAGTTGGGTTCTATAACTCTATTTGGTCCAAGTAAATTTAAGTAAAACTAGTTGAACCCGGGTTCAGTAGAATCTAGGTGAATGTAAAACCATATAGAAAATTGTTGTTTGGATGGAAATTAAAGTAAGAGAATCAAAATATTACTCTTATAAGTTGGAGAATTCAAGTTATCTTGATTCTATGAAAACTACAGTTGTCCTAGTCAAAATCCTTGTTGAACTACATAAACCCCAAATTAAATATAGAGGAACTTAGGTGTATCCTAAACCAAAGGGATCATTAGTGTTGATAGCGTACTATCAATGTAGAAAGTCTATCTGATAAACAAAAAAAAACAGATTACAGAAGGGAGTTCAGATATTTAAGCTTCTTTACTGCCATATATCATCTTCACTTTTTGGCATTAACATATTGTTTTCGTAATATATACCAGTTCATAGTGCAAGCTGAAAGAACATGAACAATCCCTACAGTTAGATAGAAGATCACATTAAAACAAATGAATTAGTAACCGCGATATAAGAAAGGAAGAACCACACCTTTCGAAGTTCGGCCTGAATGAGTTTTTGTGCCACAAATTGAGGACTCCCAAACTGTCTCAAGCTTGTGATTCTCACAGGGCTCACCACAACCCCAACATTGTTTGATCCCTTGCTTGCATCTTCCACAAAGAGAACAGTAGCCCCAGCCTTATCAACCTAGCGAAACCTTTCAGGCCAGATTATTTCAGAATTTCAAATTCTCAATAGCCACATACAAACAGCAACCACAATCGAAGAATAGAAACCTTAATCCAAGAAGAAGGTCTGAGAAGAGTGAAACCGTCTTTCGGGTCGGTGTACCTTTCGAGCTCCAACGCCTCTCTTCCTCCTCCTTCAATGGCTTCGGAGCAGCTCGGTAGAAGCGAAGCAGATAAAATTGTCCGGGCCAGCAATCTTCTTCTGCTCAGAACAATCGGGGCCAGCTCTTTCACAGAAACCGGAGTTGTATTTTGAGTTTCCTCAGTGCTAGGGCAAGAAACAAGAGAGGGAATCAAGCCGGGTCTATGCACCAGAGAAGATCGTCCTCTTCTACACTTCAGTGGTGGGAATTGAGAGCCGGAGAGAGCACGCCAATATCCGGGAACTGACATCTAGGCAGCTCGATATACCCAACTAACTATCCTCCGACAACAAAACAAATCAGTTATAAAAAGGTGACAATTCCTATACTTATTTCAAAAATGGATATTGTACGTATCATTCATCCAGATCATCATATCTTTTTTAATTTAGATTTAAATAATTCAATTTAAACATTCTCATTGCTCTATGTGGACAAAAGTACGATACATTATGGTACCATAAAATCTACCATATAAAAAAAGATGACGTCTCATTTCATTTCAGGATGTAAATTGAACACGCATCACATATTGACCGATTATGAGCGAGACTCTGGTTCAAGCATTTATAGAAGTTGTATGAATTTTTACATAGCAATCTATCATATCCCAAATCTCACATGTTTTACAAATCTTTTATACTTATCGATTATATAGAACTAAATACAAAGGGTTAGATAAGACGAGACACAAAAAGAATCATGAGGCGTAATCAATTTAAGATATTTTACCATTTGTGAAATGTTGGTTTATTTAAATAAGATATTCTACGGTTAACCGCAACGCACATCCGTCAATAAATCAATTCAGTTTTTACTGTAATCCAGCACCGTCAATATATTAACTTAACAAAAGTTTTTTTTTAATTAAGATCTTGTTTTTATTATCATGCATCAATTATTTATTAAAAAAATATTGGAATAATAATGATTTTAAAAAATCAAGCATTTCGATATAAAAATAAATAAATTTGAAATTTATTTTTTGTGTTGCTATTTACACCCATTTTTGGAAAAACTATGTGAAAGATGTAAAAAATATTTTGATCATGAAATCTTAATTTTAGCACTTGAATCTATTTAAGAAAGTTTTTGTATCTCAAAATCTTCAACGGTTAAAACTTCATATATATTTTTTAATTTTTCATATGAAATATTGATGTCATATAGAAGATAATAAAAAATAATGACTTTTGATATTTTTTTTATAAAACTTGGAATAAAAGTAAAAAAGTTATAGCCATTTAAATAAAAATGAGATTTAACTTTTGCATGGGTCACAACATTTTTCTGTCACTTCAGTGTTGCTAGCTCCCTCTTCAAAAAAAGGATGACACCCCATCTCTGAGGGCCCCCCAACCCCGACCGGACTGATGGAGTATATGGCCCAGGGACCCCCGACCCATAGACTCCTACTGCTCTAACCAAGGTCCAATAGGCCCAGGAAGCACAACAGACCCAAATCACAGCGCCCCGAGTACCAAGCAGCCAACAATGCACACTGGGGGTGCCTTCGGCCCCTTGGCCGAAGGCTCCAGATACTCACAGAAAGGCTATTTTCAGCATACAAAGTTACTGGGAGAAAACGGCGAAAAACAGTAGCCCTCGGCACCTGGAGCCCTCGGCTAATCATCTACAACCGAGGGTACCTTCCTCGACAAGAATATCCTCTCTACATGCGCCTGGGTCGCCGCACCAAGTACAACGTCACATCCAACCGCTGCATTAAATGCGGCCACATGCGAATGCCAGTGACACTCGGTTGATGTGACCCCTCGGCCGTTGGATGCTTGACACGTGTCCCGTCTCTCATTTATTGCTACTATAAATAGCACCCCATTTCCCCTTTGTAAACTAGATTCTGAATACGCTTTGAACTCATATATTCAATACACTTTCTCTCTCTTACTTGCTCTGACTTCTCTCCAGTTACTCCCCGCAGTAACCCTTCGGATACATACCCCCAGGTAGTATATCCATCATTTGGTGCTCTCGTTGAGAGGTCGAATAATCAAGTAAGAAACCCTCCCCCTCGCCAAACACAAAACATCTACCAAAATGGTGAGAACAACCCGTGCTAACTCCAAGAACGTTGATGACAAGAATCTGGCCCTCGGCGATGTCAACGCCCCCGAAGCCTCTAACAGGGCTCTTGAGGGCGGCGCCCTCGCTGGGTTGGAACAGGCGGCTGTCGACCTACGCCTTCAGATTCAACAAAATGCCCCCGATGCCCGCATCGGCATCGATGCCAAAAAGAAGGACCAGATCGAAAACCAAGTTAGCCCTCCGGTCATCACTATCGACGTACAGTCGGTGTTTTCCGCCTTCATCCAAACACTCACCCAGAACCCGGGTGCCTTCGGCACCTTGGTTCCCCTTCAACCCAGGTCGGGGAAAACATCATGCCTCCCCCTCATCCACACCCCCTCGGGAACCCTGTCCTTCAGATTGGGAACGTCAAGGGGGTCGTGGCCCAAGATACGGCCTCCCAGGAAGTCCAATCCCGGGACCGCCACAACATGAACAAGGAATAGCCCCGGACTTCCGCCCTCGAGAGACTCGGAGGGGCGTAAGACCGCCGAGGGGTCCAAGACCGCCTCGGGGGGAAGGCGCTCCAAAGGCCTCACGAAAGTGGCGGATGCGTTTCCCGGGCGGATGAAAGACGTCCCCCTCAGGACAAAGGAAAGGCACCCCTCCATGCCGACGACGCCCGTCACCACATCAACCAGGCCCACTCGGCCCGTGTCCATTCGCAGGGGGCGGAGGCCCTCCCGAAGGACCCCGGGACGAAATCATTGCGGCCCTGCAGCGCCGGCTTGACGAGATGGAGGCCACCAAAGAGCACGCCACCGCTTCTGCCCCTCATGCAGACCTGAAGTATGAGGCCATGTTGGCCAAGATGGACGAGATGCAGAAGAAGATATCTGAGGGCTCCAGGGAACCCACCATACAACTCCGGACCCTAACGCCATTTACCCCAAGGGTATTGGCGGCCCGGATCCCGAAAAAATACCGAGGGAAACTCATCAAGCCCTACGACGGAAAAACTGACCCCCGGGAGCACTACAGCAGGTACCAAAACAGTATGATGATGGTGGGGGAATCGGATGAGTATTTGTGCCGCTGGTTCCTCTCCACCTTAGAGGGACCGGCTTACGAATGGTTCAACCGATTGCCCGAAGGCTGCATAGACTCGTGGCAAGAACTCGCCCAGCGATTCTTGACACAATTTGCGGGAAGGCACCGGACAAGGAAGCACTTCTCCCATTTACTAACGGTGAGGCAGAAGAAGGATGAGACCCGTCGAGATTTCCTGGAACGTTGGAGGTCGGAGGCGGATAAAGTCGACGACGCTGATGACAGAACCCTCCTGGCCCTCCCTCCTGCAAACCGTCCTCTGCACCGGAAACTTTTCAAGGAGCCTCATCATCGAACCTCCCCGCGATTACATAAGGGCCCTACAGCGGGGGGACCGGTATGCCGAGGCCGAGGAGGTGGAAAAATACCACCACAACCCCGACCAGCAGCGCCCTCGGCCAGACAACAAAAACAACCGGGGGCCGGGGGCTCCCTCACATCAATCCAAGGGGCCGGCACCCCCCGTTGATCGCCCCCGGCCTGGCCTAGCCAAGTCCCGGGGAGGTTACAAGGGGAACCCGAAGACTTGGGTGCAGCCTGTTCTCCTGGAGCACCCCCGGATACCTTTGATGCACCCCGTCAGCGTCATCCTCGACTTTGCCGAGGAGAGGGGCCTAGTTGAGCGCGACTTTCACACACCCCCGGAGGTATACGCCATCAACCCTCAATACCCCTACTGTCGTTTCCATCGACACCAGGGGCACAAAACCGATGACTGCCATCAGCTGAAGACGGCCATCGAGAGATTAATACAAGCGGGCCATCTGTCCCAGTTTGTCCAAAGCCCTCAGCAACAGGGTCCGCCCTACCAAGGGCCACCACGAGGGCACCCATCAAAGGCAAACGCTTGGGTTAACCCAAACACCACCCCCCTCGGCAAAAAGAGGGAAATCGGGAATTTGGAAGCAGAAGAAGAGGAGTACCCCCACTATCAAGAGAAGAAATGCCACATCCTCATGATCACCGGAGGCAACACCGGGGGCGACTCCACCAGCCAACGGAAGAAGTGGGCTCAATCACTTTACGTGGGGGAAGTCACTCACATGCCCCCCCGTAAAACGGCTGAGGGAGGAGCCCATCACATTCACCGATGCTGATCTCCCCCCGACTTCCACTCCCCACAGGGACGCTTTGGTGATCCAAAGTGAGATCAACAACACCATCATCCACCGAACTTACATTGACACGGGCAGCTCCGTCAATGTAATGTATCTCAGCACCTTTAGAGAGCTGCATCTGGAGAGGGGGGTCCCTTCGGCCCATCAAGACCCCTCTTGCCGGCTTCACCGGTGACACCATTGATTCCGAGGGGGTCATAACCCTCCCGGTACTATTCGGCGACGGGCTCCATAGAGCCAAGCTCGAAGTGGAGTTCGTCGTCGTCAACATCGATTGCACCCACAACATCATCCTCGGCCGACCAGCCCTCGAGGATCTCGAAGCCATCATCTCCATGAGGCACCTCTGCCTCAAGTTCTCGACCGAAGGGGGCATCGGCTACTCGAGGGGAAATCAGAAGCTTGCCCGCGCTTGCTACCTCCAAGTGACGAAGAAGGTTAGCAAAATCGAGTTCCGTGTTGACACCATCGGCGGGGCAATTGAAGAGGAGGAGAAGAGGCCGAGGGCTGAACCGGCCGAGGATGTAGAAGACTTTGCGCTCGATCCGGACAAGCTGGAGAGAGTCGTGAAGATTGGAGCCCAGATCCCTGAAGACTTGAAGACCGGCATCACCAACGCCCTCCGCACCTACTCCATTGTTTTTGCATGGGGGGCAGAGGACATGTCGGGAATCAGCCGAAGGGTCATCACCCACCACTTCTCGGTGGACCCTTCGGCCAAACCAGTACAACAACGGAGAAGACCCCTCTCGGCCGAGAGGAGGGAATTTGTGAAGAAGGAGGTCGCCATGCTCCTCTCTATTAAGCACATCAAGGAGGTGAAATACCCCTCATGGCTAGCAAACGTAGTCCTCGCACAAAAGCCTCCCACCTTCCGCATGTGCGTGGACTACACGGACCTCAACAAGGCGTGCCCCATGGACCCCTTCCCTTTACCAAACATTGATCAATTGGTAGATGAGACCGCGGGGTGCGAAATCATGTCCTTCCTCGATTCCTTCCGAGGGTATCACCAAATTTTCATGCACGAGG